CCAATCACCAAATATCGTCTCTTATTTTTTTTATTTTTACAGTCTTAATAATACATTTCGTTCACATGCAAAACTGCTCTTGATGTCATTTGGGCATATTTAAGTATCTTACGAGCAATAACTGCCGTATGCTTTATGAAAACTTGAAAAACAATGACAGCTATCAGCCCGGAGAATAAGTAAACAACCCAGCGTTCGTAAGGCAGCCTTTCAACAATTCCAAATTTTCCCAATTTCCTAGCCGCTTTTTGAATGTTTACACTTTTGTCAACACTGACTGTTACAATCTTCAAATACGTTTTCTTTCTTTTAAAAAGGTGTATGACTATCACATTCAAATGATATCCCTCTGAATCAAACACAATTATCTATCTCCCGTGAAATACACAACTTTTAAAATGACGGCCGTTTACATTTTAACAAAGTCAGGTCTAATTTAAATTTGCAATAAGTAACAGAAATATGGATGGATGTTTGGACTTGCTCTCCTACTAGAATTGTTTGTTTTTATTATTTAAACAAGCGATCATTCATTTTTTTAAATAAAATGAATAATTTCACCGCCAGTGATTGTCGAACTTATTTTCCAGCCCAAGACTTCTTGTATTTAATAAGAAGTTCGACTAAATGAGGCTCTCAATGGGGAAAACAAATTTTAACATTAATGTTAATGTTAAGGATATTTCGATTTAACTTGTTTTTAAGCATAAAATAAATAGAAAATGTGTTTGTTTGTTGTGTAAGATGTAATTTAATTTCATCTCGGGAACTTAAGAAACAGTATTCTCAGTCGTGGCTACACCACTCGTGAGAATACTGTTTTTAAAGCCCACTCTATGAAATAAAATTTCGTCTTACACACAAACAAACAAATATCCTCTATATAAACGTCACTATTATCCAATGAAAAGCGATGTTACAAACGAACGTGCAGTATCATAAAAAACTTTAGCGTTTAAAACAACCGTTTATATACGGCCACATAATCTTTCAAAAATATTTATAACTAATAATAAACATGGGTACTGTCAATTTTCTACGAAATCTCACTTTTTATTAAAACAAAGTTTGCTGTATTTGAAATTCGTTATCAATATTCCTGACAGGTTATATGACCGTATATAAACGGTTGTTTGCAATATAACCCTCGCCTAGGGGCTCGGGTTATATTTACAAACAACCGTTTATATAGGGCCATATAAAAAGTAAAAAATCTTAATAACTAATAATATACATGTGGTGTAGGCGCCATTGATTTCTCACGCTGAACAATTTTCAGACATGCAGATTTACTTGACTATGAGACCAAAATAAAAAAGAAATATTCAAAAGTTAAAACAAAAATCAATCGTTATTGAAATTTATTATATACATGTATGTGAACAATCCAGTTTGTACACTATCTTAATAAAAAATGTCGGGACTCATTAATAATTCATACACGATAAAAAATATAAAACATCTGTTTTTCTTTAATAATTTTGAAAAATTCGTTGTACTTTTATATCACAAAAGAACACTTAATATGTGCTAATTATCAAAAGCTAATTAGATAATGCTAGTTTCTGAAAGTTGCCTGGCAAGATAATGTCGGATTCTAGTACTTCATTGACATAAGCTGACCGCGTACAGCGCCCTCTACATTTCTGAATGCTTGACATTTAAATAAATACAATTTAGACAAAAGGGTATAACTTTACAAAAAATAATTTTAGGATTATAGACCCTGAGGAAAAGATTAACGCCAACTCAACAAGAGAAAAGTCATGGTTATAGCTCTGTCGGACCGTATATGTCACGGAACGTATATGGCACACGTGTAGGGCATATTCGGCCAGATTAATCTCAGCAGTTTTTATGTGCCATATACGTTGCTGCAGTTTGGTAATTAATGCTTGGCCGTATATGTCACACATTATTACTCAGTAAACTAACATTAGCATCGTCGTTTTAACCTACCTTCATCAACGTTAATAATACATCATCATGAACATCAACAACAACAACATTAATTTGTCCGTGCAGCTGTGCCTGCGTTCGTGTGTCTGTCCGTCCAGGAATTTTTAGTTTTGCTCCATAAATAATTTAGTAAGGGTCATGGAATTTATTTTAAATGAACGTTTTTTAGCATTTTGTTATTATGTGGGGTTTCGCTTGTCAATTCATGTAGTAGTGTCAGAGTTATTGCCCTTGACTTAGGCAAATCGAAAATTGTCAACTGGTGTCCCGTGTAGCTTCAACAGTATTTGAACAAGGGGCATAGGTATGGGCATGAGACTTAACATGAATGTAGTTGTTCACAAGTTTTACCGTGTCGATTAAATTTGCAATTTATACTTGTGTCGAATGTAGCCAAAAAAAAGTATTCGAGCTAGAGTCATGCAATTTTAGTTGAATATTAGTCCACATATGAAGTATCTTGTCAATTTCTCGCATTTTATGCTAGAGTTATTGCCCTTTACTAAGTCAAAATCTGCAATTTTCAACTTGTCATGCATGTTGTTGAGAAAATTAACGGTATGGTGCAAAACGGGCTTATATTTTGTTTGTTTGTTTGTTTGTTTCATTTTACGCCTTTTCCGAACAGTATTTCAGTCATATAGGCGGGTAGTTTCCTAACCATCGTTTCTGGAGAGTAACACCAGTACTAGACTACCTTCGTCCGCGCTAAACTACCAAAGCATCTCCCGGGGATCGAACGGGCTCATATAAGTAAAAAGAAAAAACAACAACAAAAAAAAAACAACAAAAAACAAAATAAAATGGGTCAAAGACAGAAAAGGCCGGGTTGCATTTGTATACCAAATATCATGATGCCGTGATGTTACGAAAAAATATTTACCACCGATCATTAATGTTGAAAATTAAACAAAGTCGATAAACAGGAAGTGGATGAGCAACAAACCTGAAATAAAATCCCAAGGTATGGAACTACATGTCAATGCTGTATGCCAAATATCAAGAGGCTGTGATAAGTAGTTACTGAGAAAACAGTTACGAAAATTTCCTACCATTGACCATTAATGTCGAAAATTTAACTAAGTCGATTAACAGGTAAAAGATGAGCAACAGACCTGAAATTGAATCCCACATTATGGGACCCTGTGTTAATGCTGTATGCCAAATATCAAGAGGCTGTGATGAGTAGTTGCTAAGAAAACTGTTACGAAAATTTCCTATCATTGGCCATTAATGTTGAAAATTTAACTAAGTCGATTAACAGGAAGAGGATGAGTGACAGATCTGAAATCGAATCCCACAGTATGGGACCACGTGTCAATGATGTTTGCCAAATATCAAGAAGCTGTGAAAAGTAGTTGCTGAGAAAACTGTTACGAAAGTTTCCTACCATTGACCATTAATTTCGAAAATTTAACTAAGTCGATTAACAGAAAGTGAATAAGCTACATACCTGAAATCGAATCCCACGGTATAGGACCCTGTGTTAATGCTGTATGCAAAATATCAAGAGGCTGTGATCAGTAGTTGCTGAGAAAACAGTTACGAAAATTTCCTACCATTGACCATTAATGCTGAAAATTTACTTAAGTCGATAAACAGGAAGTGGATGAGTGACAGATCTGAAATCGAATCCAACAGTATGGGGCCACCTATCAATGCTGTATGCCAAATATCTAGAGGCTGTGATGAGTAGTTGCTAAGAAAACTGTTACCAAAATGTCCTATCATTGGCCATTAATGTCGAAAATTTAACTAAGTCGATTAACAGGAAGTGGATGAAAGACATATCTGAAATCGAATCCCACAGTATGGGACCATGTGTCAATGCTGTTTGGTAAATATCAAGAGGCTGTGATAAGTAGTTGCTGAGAAAACTGTAACGAAAGTTTTTCGCTGCCCGCCCGCCGCCCAGCATTCACCATACTATAACCCGGGTTTGCACATGTGCAACCCGGTCAAAAAACATGTGACGTATACGGTGGTATTTTCATTTTTATGCGCATTTTTGACAAATACGTTTTGGTGAGCATAAAAAGCTTCGATCGATCCGAATATGGCACATTTTAATGTTCCATATACGGATAAAGAGTGTGCCATATTCAAACATGACATATACGGTCTGACATAGCTCCAATATTTTCCTTCGAAAATTGGAGCTATAAATTTTGAAATATGTTATTACTTGACTAAATTATGTGATTTTGATTATAAAGATGATGTCTCAGCATTTAACGTATTATTCCTTTAGATTTTATGCTCAAGATTAACCGAAGCACTTCAAATACAAAAAGTTGTAATGGATAGTTAAAGAATATACTCATCATTAATTAGTTAACCGATAATCCAAGCATTTCTTAGCCTGATTTAAGTAAAAGAAAATTGGGTCATTTTGCACACACATAAAAAAGAAAAAGAAATATTCCAGTAAAACGGGTGAGTGAAGGATTGGAGAAGTTGCACACAAGTACAGATTTACATCAAATTGCACACGTAATTTTTTTTTTCAGTCCTAGCATTTCAAAACACCTCTGTCTTTAATATTAAAAATAGTACATTATTCCGTAATTATATCGCATAATCCATATAATATTTCACTTTTGCTGTGAAGAATTGTGCCGTTCTTAAACTACCAGCGCAGTGTTCATAAGATGTTTTTAAAATAATTTTCTCATGTAGAGGCACATATCTCCACCAATAATTAACTTCAGTATCCGAGCATTGTATTGAGCGTACGTGTTTTATTATACTATAAAATACATATTGTAGGCAATGTACCTCTGTTCTCATTGAAACGTGGAATTTCACCCAGTCACCTCTCTGCAAAAAAGTATAGACACGCGTTACTGGCAATATGCTTTTCCATATAATGGAAAAGCAAAGTGAAGTTTTGTTTCGTATTGTATTGTTCTGTATTGTAATGCATGCACTAATGCATGCAATCCATTGCATTGCATTGAATAAACATATTTATGTTTTTGCAATGTTATGAGCAAAGTAATGTCATATGAAATGATATAACCCACGTAAACTTGTCTGTATCACAAATCAACAGTTGTAAAATTCTCCAACAGTTTAGGTGCTATCGATTCAGAGTTACTTGCTGTGTCAGAAGAATGAATTGGGTTCGACTCGTGTCTTGGCGTACATTCGACAGGCATCAACGGTATAGTTGCTTTGTTCATGTCACATTTCTTTCGTTGTTTATAAAAAATCAAATGTATTCCTCTACAATTCAAAGAACGAATGAGTAATGGACGAAATTTATTACTTAATAAGAAATAGATAACTGGGTTCACTACAGTGGATGTCTTTGCCAGGAGGACGGCACCAACAGTCAGTCGTATAGGTAGCATTGTTATGTCGCCATAGGCCGTCCACATGGAAACAACCGCATACGGCAGCCATGAAATCATAAAGCCCCAACACATTGCAAACGTTATCTAAAATAAAATAAATTAAATTAAATGCTAAGTTGCAAATATTTATAACAGATAAGTTTTTAAAGTATAACAATTCCACTATTACCCCATACAAATGTAAGAAATCGTACTAGATTAGAAAATATGTATTATAATATTGAACTCATATTTAAAAAACTGTTCAATCGTTAAAACAGGGCTTGATTGGGAAAATCCTATTCAGCCAGTGAATATACAGTTTTCGCAGCTTCCTTGACAATTTCAGACACGTTTAATGTTTCTATTGGTATTAAACAAGGGGACCCATTCTCTCCTCTATTATTTATTTTATTTGTTAATGATTTTAAAATATTGTTGATGTGTCACAGTTAACAGATACTGATTTATCTTTATCATCTGTACATATGTTATTATTTGCTGATAATATAGCTCTATTTACAACCAACCCAAACAGTTTGAAATCCTTTCTTGGTAACATTTATATTTACTTGTTTAAATCAAAGCTGGTAAGACTTAAATACGTATTTTTGAGAAAAGAAAAACACAGTGTAATTACAATTTGTATGTTAATGGTGCTTAGCTAGATATCGTTAATTAATTTTGTTACCTTGGTGCTAAAATTTACTATACCGGTAATATGAAAAATGCTGTCATGTTTTAAACGACCAAGTCCTCAGAGCATACAACAATCTCCTATCGTTTATTAGTAGACTAAATCTTAATATAAAAACACAGTTATCATTGTTTGATTATCTTGTAGTTCCCATACTTCTATATGGCTCAGAAGTATGGGGAGTATACAATTATAAAGAAATTGATAAACTTCATTTTCGTTTTTGCAAGAGAATTCTTGGTGTTAGAACCAAGATATCAAATGTTGCTGTACTGGGTGAGCTTGGTCGTTATCCATTGTCTGTATTATGTAAAGAGCGAGCTTTAAAACAACGATTAAAGATAATGAACTGTCCAGGTTCACTGATGTATAACTTTTTTCAGAATTAAAGTCACCAGAAAATCTTAATTCAAATAATTCCTGGACATTGTCTGTGAAAACATTGGTAAATAATTTAGGTTATGGATACTTATGGAATGAAACAAATTTTGATATTAATATATGCCTGTATTAAAGCAAAGACTACAGGACCAGTATGTACAAGAGTGGAGTGAAACAATTGCAAATTAACCAAACCTTAAATTTTACAGTTCGTTTAAGACAGAATTTTTTTTGAAAAAATATTTGACTGTAGTAGGAAAAAAGTTCCTATAGACAAACACTGTCTCGATTAAGATTGTCGTCACATAATTTAGTAGTTGAAAATGGTAGATTTGTTGGAATTGATATAAATGATCGTATCTGTAAATTGTGAAGTACTCATGTTGAAAACGAGTACCATTTGTTACTCTGTTATCCTAATTATGGAGAGCTGCCTGAAAAATGTTATATAAACTATTGTTTTAGTACTTTGAATCTTTTGTCAAGTAAAAATGTAAGAAATGTTGCTATTATGAGATTATGAGCAGAATTGCTTGCAAATATGGCTCCTCCTTAAAAACAGATATGGAACTATTTGTTTAACTACTTTCAAATTATATCAATATTGTTAAAATGATCTTTTGATGTATATATCTTTTTGAATGTTATATTTATATTGCATATATTTCTGCTGTCTTGGCAAACACGAAAGTTTTGTAAATGGTCACAGGCATTTTGTCATGCCGATTTAGCCAAATAAACTGTATAAACTGTATAATGATATTAGACTCAGAATATTTGAAGCGTTTTCTATCCTCTGTACTCTAACACTTCACATCTTACTAAACGGAGACCAGAATCTTAGCCATGATATTAATTCTAAAATTGTTCAAGCAGTTCATGTATAAATTTTCATTCCATTCAATCATTTATGTTCTTAAAAATAAGATCTTTTAAACAATAGCTAGTTTCACCAGCCTTATCTTTGATATGAATTTTTTATTCCAAATATGTTAAAAATTAAATCCATTGGTTCAAACAATATTACAAATACTGTCATAATTTAACTGCATAGTACAAATATATACAAGACCTTTATAAGCTTTCTTATCTTTTTTTCATTCGTGTGTCTATTTATTGTAAAAGTATCAATACTATGTTGTTTTCATTGTTTGAAGTAAACTATGTTGAAACTAATATTTCTGTATGATTATAACGCCGCTCTTCTGAATTAATGGCGCATTCTACATGAACATGGTTGCTGTCAATTTATGGAGATTTTTAATAAAAAGATTATTGAGACAGATGCCAAGGACAAATGCCTCAGTCAACAATGCATCATTGGACATTTGTATCCAGGTGAACTTGCCAAACTCTCTCCAATTTGCTAAATGTATGGCTGTGTGATAAATGCAGTTTATGGCTTATCTTTCAATTAAATGCCACATCTAATTAATGTCCCTTATTGGGATAGGGGTGTCTATATCTACAGTTCCACTTGGAGTGTGTAGGCCGGGGGCACAAGTGTCCAATTGTTCACTTTTAATGTTGCGAAGCAAATGACCTAGGGGGGAGGAAATGTCCGTATATTTATTTTACCTTTGAGTGTTTGGCATAAACAAGTTGCGAAGTTAGTTGAAATGTGTTGCTTTTTTGAAATCATTGTACTGTACTTCTCAGCTGTACGTTCGCCGTAAAACTATTATAGTAGGAAAACACCTATACTTCAAATATATCTTCCACGTGTCAAAATGACATTAGTCATAACAATCAAGTCTGATTTAAAAGTGTATTGGTTCATGATAAGTCAGTCATACCATACATAATTATACTGACAATATCATTCAATATATGTGAGAACAAACCATGAAATGATTATTATATTGATGTACTTGGTAAGATAAATGTGAGATTCATGATCCAAAATTACCCGATAAATTGTTCTAGAACAAAGTATTATTATCATTCAAAACATCCATGCAAATGTTCATGTTTAATCAATTAGAAAGAGATCAACACATTTTCAATAAATATCTTAAAAGGATATCAAAATGACATTTGCCATTTTTATTAAAGTCGGTATTTGAGTACTGACACACCTGTAGAAGGATTCTTTCGAATAGAGTACCTACCAAATATTCACTGAATTGCACATAATTTATTAGGTGGCATTATACGGCGAAAAGAATGAGTAGCATTTGAATAAGAGCTCTCGGTATTAAGATGAAGACATCGGAAACTACAACTGACAATAAGTCAAGCGAAATATTAATATGCACGTTGTGGCACGTGGAGCAATACTATCCATGAGAATATCACATGGATAGAATATTACCTTTTGTTAACTTAAAGGGTATTAAAGCTATATCTTACAAAACATGTTGAATAAAATTTACCAACAGTTAAAATATACATGTATTTGTACCATAATTGTTTACGGTTGTGACATGAATGGATATATCTATTATTTAACACAAATGAATATTGTACGTTGAACAGGAAAAGTCAATGTCTTGGAGCAAAGTATTATTCTACAATGTTTTCGTGCATTTTGCAATAGTTTTTTAGCCATTTTACTATATCTATTTCATACTAGTACTTTGGAAATATGTTTTATTTCAACAATAATTTTCAGCGGATGTTTAGCTATATATACCTTTAAAATATACTATGCTCATCTTTGAGTAAAATAATTTTATCACAAACATTTATTGAAATCTTATGAAATTCTTATTGAATAATTCTTATAAATGTGCATGAAAGGATGTACAATATATGTATTGGAAGCTGTATTCCCTATTTTATGTAAAGTAAAACAGGTCCTTTCTTAGAAAGATGTCATTTGTGTGTTGATAATACTATATATTCATATTGTGACCTACTATATAACATATATACTTTCTGTGAAGTCAAAACATTTTGATTTTATTATTAAAGAGACAGTGTAGCAATTTCAATGTTTTCAAATACGTTTCACTTATTGTATCAAATTTGAGCATTACATATTTTTAAATGACTCAGAAAAATGTAATCACCTTGATCAGGTATGATTCTTTCCTTGACATTTTCGTTGTGTTTGTATTACTACCTCGTACAGTTCGATGACTACTCCGGCTTCTATGAAATATCAATGTGTATGAAATGACCATAATTACTGAAGGCATACTGATACAGAATATGGACATCAACGTGATGAATACTCTGTTCTCATCCCACTGTAACGTGCATGACGTGCCATACGATTCGAGTGAGTACGATCCCCAGCCAGTTAGAGGTAAAGATGACCATGTGATGGAGTATGCATATGTGAACAAGATCGTATTTTTGATGAACCTTTTGCTGGATATATCTGTAATGGTAAAATAAAAAATTCTTTGATATTAATTCTAGAGTTCACTATGAACGTTATATTCTATACATCTAAACGGTTTACTCAGGGAAATCAGGTTTGCCAGTATTCTATCCTTGGCTGTAGAAGAACACGAAATATTTTAGGCAATTGGAAAGATGATAATTAGATTAAAATTTACATGAATATAATATTACTAGTATATGACTAAAAGCCATATTTGGACAGTTGGAAGCGAGATAAATTGATCCGAATATCGGTAGTTAATATTAGAAATATTTTTATTGGGATATAATAAATCAACATTCTTTTATAAAAAGGAGACGATGTGAATGCTCTTCAGTTATGGAGGAAATAAAGATAAAAGAAGAATGAAATCACATCAAACTACATGTACCAGAATCTTGTTATTCTACTGACATTTATAAAATTGTTATCGAGTAACTGAAATATATACTGCACGACTTGCTAAGTGCCTTCCGCAGTGATACGAAAAGAGCGTGTCCCTAGCAACAGGTATCAATAACAATTATGAGAGCGAACGGGATGCGAATTAAAATGGTACAAGGGCATCGCGGTAGTCTGACGCGGCGAGTCACCTAAATTTCAAGTTGTATGAAGAAAAACATTTTGTTAAAGTATTATTTGCCAAACGAATTCTTAAAAATTATTTGAACTTTAAAACGATTTTTGTTATGCCACATAATTATATTTTGTCTTGGTTTTCACAATATTTACTTTGGATTTCGATTGTAACTTTATCAATTTCTGTTAATGTTACCTTTCAAATGGCGTAAATTCAATGTATACTGTTACGAGCTTAACGCAACAGAGAAGATTAAGCAGCAACAATGATACATTTTATTTCATTAAGGAAAAAAGTTATTTATAGTAATACAAAGATTATGTGATTAAAGTTTATCTGTCAAAAATTCATTTGTCCACAACTAAAATTTAATCAATGTCCTAATGTTAAACACACTGTCCGAAATTCAATTGTTCAACACTCAAACTAACCAATGTCCAATGTCCACATCAGAAGATCACAGTATGTCCAAAACACTTCCCGCACGGAATATTCCTTTGTTAGTCTCACGAAATCATAAGTACAATAACACACACTCAGTATATCAACATCACACAATATCACAAATTAGCATACACACACCCGAAGTACAAACATTCATTTTTATAGATATACTATCAATAAACTATAATACTTAACTTCTTAGGATAAGAATATTCAAGAATGTATATGAAAAGAACATTTTTGAAAGAAGATTAATGACCATGAAAAGTTATATAAATATTAAATAAACAAAATTATCAAAAATAATAGTTGCAAGTAGGTATCGAATCAACGACCTCAAGAGTATCAGTCGTGTGCTCTACCTACTGGGATATTCAGGAAATAGATTCTAAATACATTGATAATAAAGCCTATATACATATCAATACTCGCCTTTTATATGGATTAAATTATAAGTATATGAATTATAGTTACAAGTCCGTTTATGTTCAAATAGAAAATTGCATCCACACTTGTCTGTATATATATTTGGTATGTATATATGTTAACATTGTATTTAGCGTCTTTCTTGTAAATGTAAATGGCCAAAGACAATCTAATTGCTGATTTCCAATAATTTGAGCAGAACTGCACTTACAATAGAATAATAAGAAATGCTTATTATTTCACATCTCAGATAACATAAATTGTTTAAAGTCGTTACACAAATTAGAAGATCAAGTGTACTATCAAACAATTGTGGATCTCTGACATTTAGTACAAATAGTTCAGATATTTAAATCATCACATATTACAAAGAGGACCAACGCATCTTACGTGTTAATCAGAAAAACACGGACGCTTGGAAAATTCTTCAACCACGATTTGTGCTCTTGGACAGGGAGCGGGAGCCGGAAACCTAACATCTGATATAGGATGTATTGTACTCGTTGAACTCGTATATAAATAAAGCTGTTTTATATAGATTTAGGCAAGTTGTTTTACGCATTTTATCCATTGATTTTTAAAAAAAATGGAACATTGTTTAAATGAAGTATTAAGTTTATGTTTCTTACATTTCTTACTGCTATATGGTATCGTGATGTTTTAATTATTTCAGGTTGTATATTGGTGTTTTCGACCGGCGGCCTCATATCACGATGGGTGGGGGATAGGGATGTTAGTCGCACATGTCGCACAAAACACAGTACAGGTTTCAAAACTTCAGATGCCCTCTCCGAACTTTAATTCATGCACGGACATAAAAGGTAGAAGACAAGTAATCAGCAAAAAAAGTATATTTGAAGTTATTTACATGCTGTTATGATAAGACATCGCCTCACGTGTTATTTCAGATCTCGGGTTGCTAAAAGGAACTGTTACCCTGAGAGACATGTGCTTTTTTTTATCATAATATCGTCTGCCAAATATGCTCAAACACTTACTGATGTGAGGATGGCATATGCTGATGTAACGTGTGAGCCCCATAAGAGTTAATGTTGTAATACTGACAAGTCCAAAGAAAAAGCCAAGGAAGCCGTAAGCAACGCATCCTGAAAACAAAGTTTGCAGAAAATTACTATTTAACCATTTGCTTAAATTATTTTTACTTCTGTTTCTTTTAAGCATTTAGTAAATTTGCATTTAGTATAAAAGTCAAAATACAACTTGCTTTAACATTTTTCTACATTTAAAAAAAAATCAAATTCAATGCTACTTTCTTAAGATAACAAATACCTATACTGCTTATAGCTTCCAACACAATCGAAATAAGATCAATTTGCAGAAACTAAATGCTACGAACTTTTTGAAATAACGATACTACCAAAGAAATACTAAACCGCATTACGATCAAAACTTTTCATTTAAAGATGTTAAAGTGATGACAAATTATTTCTACTCGCACAGTCTATAGTACTTGCATTTCCATTCAACCAGTGATGATATTAGAGATGAAATTAGATGAACACTAACCTATATTCTAATTGAACTTGTGATGATGAATAGCAGAAGACAATATAACTTTCCTGTACTTATATACACTCATTGAGGTTTGAAAGGAGGCGATATTGAAAAGGGACGTAACACTTTAAACTTGTCTTTGTATACAATCATTGAACATTGAAGAGGGCGATATTGAAAAGCGACGTAACACTGACCTGTATTCCTTCTATACAATCTTTGAGAATTGAATGGAGGCGCTATTGAAAAGGGGCGTAACACTTACCTGTTTTTTCTATACAGTCTTTGAGAATTGAAGGGAGGCGAATTTGAAAAGGGACGTGACATTTTCCTGTTTTCAACACAATGGGAGGCGATATTGAAAAGAAACGAAACACTTTAAACCTGTCTTTGTATACAATCATTGAACATTGAAGGGGGCGATACTGAAAAGGGACGAAACACTGACCTGTATTCCTTCTATACAATCTTTGAGAATTTGAGGGAGGAGCTTTTGAAAAGTGACTCGTGAACCTGCATTTATATACAATCATTGAGAATTGAGAAGGGTTGCGCTATTGAAAAGGGAAGTAACACTTACCTGTATTTCTTACAATCTTTGAGAACTGAAGGGAGGTGCTATTGAAAAGGGACGTAACATTTCCCTGTATTTCTTTCTATTTGAAGTGAGATGCTATTGGAAAGGGACGTAACACTTACCTGTATTGGAAATTGATTGGGGACGATATTGAAAAGAGACGTGACACTTACATGTTTTTCTTTCTCTACAATGTTTGAGATTTTAAAGGAGGGCGATATTAAAAAGGGACATAACACTTACCTGTTTTTCCATACAACCAATGATGATTAAATGAAGATGATATCGGCAGTGGAAAGGCACTTATGGGAAGTATAACATCACTGAAGGCTAGATTTAAGATGTAGTAATCTGACATGATGAGAGATTTCCAGTTGTGAAGACACGTATATATCACCAGCGCATTCAAAGTTAGTGCAAGTATAACTAAAAAAAATGAGAAACCAAAACAAATTGTTAACCATTTGATATTTTAACAGAATATTCAAACACAATTTGCTGTCCGAAAACAAGAACAGCGTGATATATTAAAGGAATATTCAAACACAATTTGCCGTCCGAAAACAAGAACAGTGTGATATATTAAAGGAATATTCAAACACAATTTGCTGTCAGAAACAGTCCAGGGTTACATCGATAATAAAAACCGTATTGGTTGTAAATTAAAGTTACATGCCTAGAGCTGTAGGTGAGTCATCATACTATCAAATTGAAAAATCTGTACTAAGATATTAAAAAGTAAAAAATTCAATATTCAAATGATAATAAATATGTTATGCGCGATAAATGACTGATTTTGAGGGTAGGTATCACCATATTTCTACTGCTGTGTAAGTAACGCAGTAAGGACTTTTTTTGTATACTTCCGTCATTCTTAGTAATTTACATTCCTTTATTCAGTTTACGATATTTTTTTATACATTTTAATTTTTTTCACGAGAATAAACATAAACCTGAAGGTATGCTGCTTAAATATACCAAGAATTAACAACCTCTAAAAAAGTAAGAATTTAATTGTAAATTATATCTAGTAACTTAAAAGGACATTTAGACAGGACTGATTTTAAGAAAATATGAATGCTAGAGGCATTTTATAGTACAAGTTATATCTTGAGTGTTTTAAGCTAATATGGGTATGCTAAAGACGATGAGGGTGGATACCAAGAAAATAAAATTGACCTTGTCCTTCAGAAGGTCAATCCAAAATGGCCGCTTAAAAATACTAAAATAGGTCATTAAAATTATGATACAATATGATGCAATTAATTATTCTTGTCAAAATCAGATGATTATTTAATATGATCAGATTTTAATGAGATTGGCCACCAAATATAGCCAATAATAAGCCTAATGGCTCAATTAACAGTATATACAGTACTGTTTTACTAGCGCGTTAAGGTATAATAATAAGATTGAAAAAATCACTTTTTATGATTTTTTACTTGACTTATATTTAACCACAAGCTTAGTTTATAAATATTACCAAAGAATTAATATTTCGTAATAACAAATTAATATTTCATAATTACAAATTAATAGTTCGTAATAACGAATTAATATTTCGTATTTACGAAATAATATTTCGTAATAACGAATCAATATTTCATAATTAAGATTTTATATTTCGTTAAAACGAAATAATATTTCTAATTGGGAATTATTATCTCATAAAAACGAATTCAATTCCGGAAGAAAGTGTGGAAAATATCACTTCAGGTGTTCCGTAATTTTCAACATTATTTGTAGCTATGATATTTATTTAAGTTGTTCATTGTGTTTTCATATATTTTGGATTTATTGTGGTAATGAATATTTAAAAAATATTTTGAAATGTCAAAAAATGTCATTTCAATGCCATAAACACAACACAAACCGAGACAAAAAGTGTTTTAAAATATATACTGCCCCCCCCCCAAAATAAATAAAAAAATAAAAAAATAAAATAGGATATCTTAATGTAACAGCAAAGTTATCTATAAAAATATTATTTGTTGTAAATCGAGTTATATTTTCTTTGACCATATAAAAGTCACGTGGGTAGGCTACACAGTAGAGGTGTTAAAATATAATTGTATTACACCCTTTGTTAGCCATTGAAATAGTATTAAATGTATAAAGGATTTTCAAAAATGGTTATTATTCAGAGCGGGCGCTATGGTGCAGTGGTAACACTGTCTGCCTACAAATCAAGGGGTCGTGAGTTCGATCCCCCGCTACTCCACTGAACGAATAAATGACTACGAGATTGACCTAACCAGGACATAGACACAGAATGACGGCAACGATAGAAACAAGAGAAGACCTTAACGGAACAGGAAACAAGTACCGAAAGTACAAGACCGAAGACGACGACCGATAACAGAAGGAAAAACGAAGACAAAAACTGACAACAAGTGAACAAAGACGAGGACCGATAACATAAGAACAGAGACAGGGACCGATAACAGAAGAACTGGCAACAACCGAACATAGACGTCCACTAACAACAGAAGAACTGGCAACAAGCGAACAGAAACAGGGACCGATAACAGAAGAACTGACAACAACAGAACACAGAAGAGGACCGCTAACAGAAGAACAGGACAAAGACCACCGATAACAGACGAACTGACGACAAACGACCATAGACGAGGACGAAAAACTGGCAACAACCGAACATAGACGTCCACTGATAACAGAAGAACTAGCAACAAGCGAACAGACACAGCGACCGATAACAGAAGAACAGGACAGGGACCGATAACAGAAGAACTGACAACAAGCAAACAGAGACGTCGACCAATAACAGAAAAACAGAAACAGGGACCAATAACAGAAGAACATAGACGATGACAGATGATAGAAGAATGGAGACGGTGATCAATAACAGAGACGGGAACCGATTACATAAGAATTGACAACAAGAAAACGGAGACAAGGACTGATTACAGAAGAAAAGAGACAAGAACCGATGACAAAAGAACGAAGTCGACAACCGATAACAGAACAGGACAGGGACCGATAACAGAATAACATAGACGGGAACTTATGACAGAAAAATTGACAACAAGAAAACGGAGATCATGACTCTTATTTCAAAAGAATAGAAAAGAACGGATAACATAAGAACGAAGAAGAACGAAGACGACGACCGATAGCAGAAAAACAGAGACGAGAACCGATAACAGAACATCTAACAACAAAAGAACTGAGACCAGGACCGATTACAGAAGAACGAAGATCACGACCAATAACAGAAGATCTGACAACAAGTGAACTGCGACGAAGACCAATAACAGAAGAACGAAAGTCACGACTAATAACAGAATACCTGACAGCAGAGAAATGCGACGAGAACCGATAACAGAAGAACGAAGACGACGAACGATAACAGAAAACGAACACCAAAACCCAAGAGTACTCAGAGAACAATGCCTTAATTAATGTATATTTTGCATGCAAACGTTTTAACTCCCTCACACATCTTAACGCTGAAGGCATAGAGTGCCAGATAAAATATAGCATTTAGGGCAGGAAAGAGTGTAGTGTTCGCTGCGTAAACCCTTAATATGTTTAAATGCCTTAAAATTTTCAGTACTATTTTTAATATTACTTCTATATTACTATTATATTAGCCTATAGAAAAATGTCTACCATCTTGGATTTTTCGGCCATATTGGATTGTTTTGTGCTTTAAATTCTGTTTTGGTGTCTAATTTATTTTTACCTAAACATGCATTGTGACAAATTTCAGGTTTTTTCTTTCTTTGATATATCATCCATTTATAATAAAGAAATTTGGCGGCCATTTTAGTGGTCATTTTAAATGGCCATTTCAATGGTCAAGATCAAGTTTTTCAATTTGGTATCCACCTTTATCGGATTCAGCATACCTTAAATAGGTAAAATACACCAAGATACCACTTGTACTACAAAATGCCTCTAGCATCTTATAGGGAGCCAAATTCTCAAAATCAGTCCGGTCTAATTGAACATAAACTAGAAGCAAGTTTCTAATATGTGTGACTTTTTACAAGTACAGGCTTACAAACTTACAAATAATTACAAGGTATCCTCCCACGATGTCGTCCTCCCAGTTGTGGAGTTTAGAGAGTGCATCAGTTTCAGTGTCAACTGTATCATCGTTCACGTCAGATTTATTTCTGAATTGTACAGATGCTTCGACTGCATCACCCATTGTCTGTCACTAAAATTAGATGGAAAGAAAATCAAAAGATAACTCAAAGATAACTTTTTTTGTCTTAAGATTTTTTTCTAAATAATAATAATAATAATAATAATAATAATAATAATAATAATAATAATCTTAATAATAATAATAATAATAATAATAATAAATAATAATAATAATAATAATAATAATAATAGTAATAATAATAATGATAATAATAATACATTTTTGTAATAATAATTATAATAATAATTATACATTTTTGGTATAATAATAATAATAATAATAATAATAATAATAATAATATAATAATAATAATAATAATAATTATAATAATAATAATAATAATAATAATAATAATAATAATAATAATAATAATAATAATAATAATAATAATAAAAATAATAATAAAAATAATAATAATATTTATAATAATAATATTTATAATTATAATAATAACAATACTAGTTATTATAAAATAAATGAATAAATAAATAACAGTTATTATAATATAAAAAATAATAGGAAATAATCAAATAATGAAAAATTAATAATAAATAAATAAATAAATAATAGTAATTATGATATAAAAATAATTTAATAATTACATTGTTATAATTATACATGTATATGTATGTTATGATGATGGGTGTTGAGCCCAAGTCAGAAATAAAGTATATATGTTCTATTCCGTTCAAATGTTCTTTAAAAATAATAAAAAATAATTAATAAAATAACAAAATAACAAGAATAGAAAATCACCACCATTCCGTTTTTATTGCCGATGAGTCTTCTTCTTAAAGTTACATACATGTAAGGTTAGGAATAAATTTAATCATACATTAAAGGTCACCGTATTCTCTTGGAAGCACCATTTGTGCCAATTTAAAACAAGAGGTACCTGTAAAAAATATACTCGGCCAAAATAAAACCGGTTCACTTGCAGGTGTTAGTTCTTACTTTTCCACGCAAAGTCATGTAGAAATATTAGCAGGCTTATAACAATGACGTAATTATTTCTTTTAGGGTTATTAATCTTGAAAAATGAAACACTTTAAGATGTATAAGATGTTTGTGTTTCTTAACAAACCTGTCGTGTTTCGGTATGTGAACTCAATTCTTAACAACAACATCTATGCAGTCGGTAAGGCAATTATTTTTTATAAACACTTGATTAATATAAACTAATATGAAAATTATAAACATTATATCAATTGAACACATCAATAATCATAAAATATATTTGACATTTATTAAACATCATATTAAAATCTGATATAATTCTCATTATTTTGGACAAAATTTAAACATTTAGATCTTGTGTAAAAAAGACTCTGTTAGTACTTACGTAAATTAAAGTGTTCGCTATAAAATATAATGAGATCCGAATGTAAGAAGTATTGTAAAACAGTATTTAATTATCTGAAGAATTTAACTAGGAAGTTAAAGAACTGTCCGTAACATTTTATTTTAGAACTATCCTTTAAATTTGATTTATTAATGGCATTAATACATTTACGTTGAGAACTATCCTTAACATTTTATTTTAGAATGGCCAAGGAAATTTCCAGATTTCATTTTGTGATTTTAAAATTACCAATGAAAACTCTTCTTATATTCAGTTCTTCCCTGTAAATTTTAAAAGAAGTCAAACTAAAAACAGACCGGCCTTGGGCAGGAAAAACGATCAAATTATACGCCTGAAACTACCATCGTTTTGAAATTTCACTTGTTTGCTGAAAAAAAAACACCTCTTTAAAAAAAACTCTTACCACGAGGTTCTTTTTTTAAATCCAAATATTTTTTTTCTGTTGCTTAAAATGCTGTTTGCTTTTCATTTACCTTTGTTTTGATATATATAAGTATATATTTTAATCTAATTTCCTGTTTTATAGAGCTTAAGTTCATTTTACAATTGCAACACACTTATTTACCATATTTTTTAATTTTTAAATTTAAGTCCACATTGAACAACTGAATGTCTAACCTCACTCACATGGTTTGGAACAATGTTCTATAGATTGAAAATTATTTATTATTAAATTATTAAATTATTTCTTTCATAATGTTCTTATGTTCATAGATACAAAAATGTCGATCGTATTTATGGGATATAACCGTTTTTTTTCCAGTTGTCTTTAATTTGAAGATATTACATAAAGAAAATAGCTAAAATCTAAATTAGCGTATGTATACACTCCCTTAAATAACTATTTGGTAGACCGCCGCCATATATATATTTATATAATATATGAAAAAAAAATTACTTATGGAGCTTAATACATGCTTTATAGAAAACATCACAGATGAAAAAGACTGAATGATATTTACTATATCAAAATATAATAACTTTATTCAGGAAATAGATATCGATTCGGAGTGCATTGTTGTAGAATAATGTACTGTTCGAGTTCAAATGCACAATAATATAGTCACAAAGGCCTATAGACCTGAGTGATTAATTATTGTCCAACAATATTGACCCTTTCGTAAAGGTTTTTTGAAGTATCTATCGAATATATTGTCAGTGAGATGTGCTGTGTATTGGTAAAGATGTCGGCTACCGATCTGAATACCTCTGGTTCGATTCCTTACCAACACCATTTTATGATTTTATTTCTTTTTGAATTTACTTGCAAGAAATAATTTGAAATCGTTTTACTACACCTGGTTTTAGGATAATTTACCCTTTTAGTAGTGTTTAAATACACAATCATTTTTTTTATATTTCATTTCAGTATCTTTCAACGGTTCTCTACGTGACATTGTGCAATCGTTTATGCGTAAGCATTTGTCAAAAATACCACACAACAAAAATGTTTGCAATAGTTTTAAGAGAATGGCAATTTTTAAATAAAGAAGAAGAAAAAAAACAAATACAAAAAACAAACAAACAAGGATTGGAATTCTTCAAGTGAAACTCTTTTACCGATTGCGCTAAAAGGGATTTTTAAGTCGGCAATTTAACAGTTTGATATCGACATTTATATATCAATTTACATGTACATCGTTACGTTTATCGTTACGTTTACGGAATTTACCGACTACTAGTTCAAATGCACGAGTGCCAGGTCATTGTTGTTGTACAACATAAAGCATTTGAACGTTAAATACTATGATGCAAGAAAAATATTTATTTTCTTTCTAACATGCTTAAAAAGGATAATTGATAAAAATATGTTAAACTACATCGGGCATAGAAAAAAAATTCCGTGACATCATTTGGTTTATTGACGACAAACATGTTGTATGTCTATATGATGTCAAATAATTATAATTAGGAATAACAGATGGTAGCGACGAGGAAAATAAGGAACTGTTAACAAAAGTGCCAACTTTTATTCAAAATTCATAAATAGTTTGAACTAAATTTTAATTTAAACTTAAACTGTTCCCTACATAAAATGCAACTTTGTCTTGTAAGGTGTATTCGGGCGCGCGAGTGAGAAATTATGGTATAAACACAAACTAGATGACTGTCTAGAAGATATTCTTGTCCTTTTTGTCAACTCAATCTTTTGCTTTCCTTTTATCAAGTATCACTTACATATTTTTAAATACCAAGCTTATAATTTAGCCGTAGAAACTGGACCTTTTTATTTCTTTGAATGGAAATAAAATTTTTTGTCAAGTATGTTAAAGTGGAAACATTGGACCTGAATATCATTTTTTACTGTTAGGTTCTGCATACTCTCAATAATGAATTAGTCATTGTTGATTAAAACATTACGGCCGATAATGCCCTTGTTAACTGTATGTCTTGACTACATTTAGTATGTTGTAAATGGTCAAAGATTTGCCAATAAATGAAATGAAAAGAAATGAAATGTTCACCGAGATAAAATGAATAAATAAAAAAGTTAACAAAAAATAAATAAATAAATAAATAAAAGAATGAATGAATGAATGAATGAATGAATGAATGAATGAATGAATGAATGAATGAATTAATTAATGAATGAAAACAAAAAAGAAAAAGACATCGATATTCATTTTAATTTCGGATACATTATTTTATTATCCAATGAAGATACCTTTCATTTTTATATGATATTATGCTCATTCTTTTTCATTGTCAAGTTGGGCTGAATTTCAAATGTTATGCTTATTCACTTTTTAAACCTCAGCTTTTAAACTAAATTTTAGTCCCATGTAGCCATGGAACATTACTTTGACTCAAAAGAATAATGACGTCGATCAATGAATATCATCTGCTTTTTATTTCCGTCAAATAAAAACATTTCATATCAACCTTTAAAATAACTACAAATAGAAATAGCTTCCAGAGAAATTCTTTAAATATGAGTAAAATTGTCTTGAAATACAATGACAGACCTATGGGCTATTGATAAATTACTACTGTCTTTTTCCTAAGAGGCAGAGAAAAATGATGTGAACAGTGAAGGTAGTAGCAATCGTAGCGTCCGTCGAACGAGTTTGATTCTGGTTGACACATTTGACAGTAAAACAATGTGGTAATTTTTTTAAGATAAATGAAATAATGTCTGACTGGATTTTGTCAAAACATTTACATGTATAATATCTATAACTGCTTTGTAAAAAAGTATCTTTTGTGTTAAGAATATCCTTTTTATCCAATGATGTCGTTATGCCTACGTATCAATTGACAGAATCCTAAAATGTATGTTTATTTTGTAGAATACAGTGGTCACAATAATCGTTCATTTTATCAAATAATTACTGGTAATAGCTATTAACTCTATGTAATTGTCGAGTGTTTGATATTCATTCATCAATTCAAAAGTGATTAACAAGTGATAAACAATTTGCAAGAATATTATCCGTCCATTGATCAATAAAACACCAATAACAAAAATTTTGAGAAATTAAAAAAAAGATAATCGGGGGCTTGTTGAGCCTTTAATACACTTTTCGTGATAATTTGATTTAAATTGTTTGTTTAAAAGTGAATTGGTCTATTAGAAGGTATGAAATAAACAAAATAATGACGTTGATACTGTATAGTACCAGACATAACAATAAATATGATATAATATATATTCATACAGAAGATAATAAAATGTTGTAGAATTCAATAACATTTTACATCATAAAAATGTTCATACTAAGTCACTTAGAAATTTGTCAACGCTTTATATTTAAAGAAAGTTTTAATATAAAATATGATACATTTTTATTGTTTTTATTTATGTCTAAACAATTTATGGAAATTGTACTCTTATAGACCAATCGACTTTAACACCCAAATAATTCTAAGAAAAATAGAAGAAAAATGTAATATAGAATATACAAAGAAAAAGAATAATTAAGAATAAATAAATAAGTATATAATTTTTATCTTTTATTATACCTCCATATTTTGTATTTTGTTATTCCCTTTAAATCACCATTTTATTCGGACCAGTGTGAACGATTCTGATACATATATGAATTAAAAATCCAGTGTTAACTACATCCTTGATCATGTGTTTATCAGCCGTCACACGTTAACACAAAAACGAGCTATAAACGTCTCTCCAGAATCCTACCACTTTATGAGTATTTATATACTCTCTCTCTGGAAAGTCCATATAAGAAAATACAATACCAAACATATCAACAGTCAAGTAAGGTAGAAACGCTATTGTGTAATTCTTGTAGCATAATTACTGTGCAATTTGTTAAGGTATTACTACAATGTACTAAGTAAAACTTGATGATCAATTTTAAATAGCATGTTAATTCATGCATTGTAGTGTATCAACATGAATTATTGTTATTTCATATTTTGACTGATTTTTAGAGGCATACACTGTAATCGTTAGATTTTTTACTACAACTATTAAATTTTGGCTTATTGTATGTAAATAAAGAAAATATTGATAATTTAAAGAAGAACATGTGTTCAAAAACGACTAATTTGGACATAAAATGTCAATCTGCTAAACTGTTTATCGCTTCCACACGCTACAAATTTTCAACAAAATTGTCCGTCTTTCAATCTGGACAAAACCCTTCATCTTTTTAGGGAAAATTAAAAAATATATATACTAACTGGAGAGTGCAGATCATGACAAGACAGCAGATATTTGCCGGTTAATACCGAGGTATGTCGCTGATATTGGTCTGTTGCGAGAGAAGATAGCTGATATTGGTCTGTTGCGTGGGTAGATTGCTGATATTGGTCTGTTGCGTGGGTAGATTGCTGATATTGGTTGTGCGAGAGAAGATAGCTGATATTGGTCTGTTGCGTGGGTAGATTGCTGATATTGGTCTGTTGCGTGGTAAGATTGCTGATATTGGTCTGTTGCGTGGGTAGATTGCTGATATTGGTCTGTTGCGTGGGTAGATTGCTGATATTGGTCTGTTGCGAGAGAAGATAGCTGATATTGGTCTGTTGCGTGGGTAGATCGCTGATATTTGTCTGTTGCGTGGGAAGATCGCTGATATTGGTCTGTTGCGTGGGTAGATCGCTGATATTTGTCTGTTGCGAGAGAAGATAGCTGATATTGGTCTGTTATGTGGGTAGATTGCTGATATTGGTCTGTTGCGAGAGAAGATAGCTGATATTGGTCTGTTGCGTGGGTAGATTGCTGATATTGGTCTGTTGCGTGGTAAGATTGCTGATATTGGTCTGTTGCGTGGTAAGATTGCTGATATTGGTCTGTTGCGTGGTAAGATTGCTGATATTGGTCTGTTGCGTAAGTAGATAGCTGATATTGGTCTGTTGCGAGAGAAGATAGCTGATATTGGTCTGTTGCGTGGTAAGATTGCTGATATTGGTCTGTTGCGTGGTAAGATTGCTGATATTGGTCTGTTGCGTGGGTAGATCGCTGATATTGGTCTGTTGCGAGAGAAGATACCTGATATTGGTCTGTTGCGTGGTAAGATTGCTGATATTGGTCTGTTGCGTGGTAAGATTGCTGATATTGGTCTGTTGCGTGGGTAGATCGCTGATATTGGTCTGTTGCGAGAGAAGATAGCTGATATTGGTCTGTTGCGTTGTAAGATTGCTGATATTGGTCTGTTGCGTGGTAAGATTGCTGATATTGGTCTGTTGCGTAAGTAGATAGCTGATATTGGTCTGTTGCAAGAGAAGATCGCTGATATTGGTCTGTTGCGAGAGAAGACAGCTGATATTGGTCTGTTGCGTGGGTAGATCGCTGATATTAGTCTGTTGCGTGGGTAGATCGCTGATATTGGTCTGTTGCGTGGCGAGATCGATGATATTGGTCTGGTATGTGAGTAGACCGTGATATTTGTCTGTTATGTGGTTAGATTGCTGATATTTGTCTGTTGCGTGGTTAGATTGCTGATATTGGTCTATACGTATGTAGATCGCGGATAGTGTGGTCTGTTAAATGTGTAGATCGATGATATTGGTTTGTTGCATGGGTAGATCGCTGATATTGGCATGTTGTGTGGATATATCACTGATATTGGTTTGTTGGGTGGGTAGATCTTTAATATTGGTCTTTTGCATGAGTAGATTAAGTCGCCGGACGGTAAAGATCTATTAAATGTTACCTTAAAGTCTTTCAAATTAGACGATATATTGCTTTTGGTTTGAAAAATTATAGGCTAAGTGAAAAGAAGTGTCGTATATATTCGTCACACCACCTTCTCTGTGCTCGACACTATGAATAACTATTAGAAATATTATACCAATATATTTGAAGTTATTGATGATTATTTATTACTTATCAAATTGCAATTAAAAACAAAACACTGGTATTTGACTAATTTTAAGACAATGTGTACAGAGCCTAGAATGAAATTTTGCTTTTTCTTTTATTATCTAGTACGATATTGTGGTAACACTCAATGTTTGATTTATTATCCATCGTTTTAACTGCAATAAAACTCTACGTAAACTTTGTCTTGATAGATAATGAAGTCGCTGCAAGAAGATGCCATAAATAATAAGAAAACTTTATCGTAATACATAACAAATTTGATCTAGGAGTATTTTTCATGTTTTATATAAATATGAAATACATAGAAGTTAGATAATGCAATTTTTACCAGCATGTTCTCAGATTAATACTATTTTTTTATGAAAAAGTTTAGAAATGTTTTTAAAAGTAAAACATTGTTAGGTGAACAGAAAGCAATTTGCACCATGCAAACGCCGTAAACAGTCCACGTAAATAACTAAAATGATGTCAAAATATGCAAAAAAAAAAAAAAAATGAAATCATTTTCGGTAATCATTGTGGCGCCGTTATATGTCACAACACCGCTAAATGTCGCATTTACCGCTAAATGTCGCACCATTGCCGCTAAATGTCGCAACCTCCGCTAAATGTCGCAAAATCATTTGCCGTTAAATGTCGCAATGTTAACGTTAAATGTCGCAACACTATCGTTAAATGTCGCAAGATGTTGAACTCGAGTTTTATATAAATCAGCGGATCTGTGGATTTTACAGATACAGCGAGTGTTGTATTCTTACGCATTTTACAAAACTTTTTCTTACTCATACTATGTTGTTATTGGTGGTGGTCGTGTTGGCGGCGGTGGCAGCGGCGGCGGCGGCAAAATTAAAACGCTTTTAAGGCAAAACTTAGAAGAATTAAAATTACCTCTTATGAAAAAGGTAACAGAAATATTTCATGGATTTTTTTGGTTGAAAATATGGAAAAATATACTGAAAAACATTACAAAAGGAAAAAAGATATTTCAGACGCATGTATAAGTTACGTGCCCCTGAGATTACCCCAAATAAGTGGCTTGCCCGGCTATAGGCTACACGTGAAAATCAAATAAAAAAACAAAAAAAAATATAGAATTCTATACCAGTCCTATCAATGAAATTGTCAGTGTCAGTTCTAGCTAGGCGCCGTTGAACGTTTTAATAGCCAGAGCAACAGAAATAAATTAGTGTAGATGTGATATATACGCGCTGCATTTTGAACAATCTTATGAATATTTTTTATTTTCTACTTTTGCAATCTGTTTTTTTTTGTTGTTGTTTTTTTCAATTTTGTTATTTTAGTCTGATGCTGATTTTTTAAAAAATAAGTCAGTGTTCATGTAATTTACTTTTTTTGTTCACATTTGTTACAATGTCACAAATGTGTTTCCTATTCTAATTAAAATCTGGGACCAAAATTTTATTATTGTTCCAGTTAAAATATACAAACCAGGGTATGAATTTTTTAAAACTAACGCAGAGATATAGATAAATCTACATCTCTAATAAACGTTATTGCTATGACGAAACTGGTAATATCTTTTTCTAAATTTATATACTATTGGATGCACGTTAACTTGTGTGCAAGATTTCAGATTATTCGCTCACTCTATTTTTCCAGTATAAGTGCAAAATGACCCAAAAATGAAAAGTGGTTAAACGCTTTTAAAACCCAAATCGGACAAGAATTACACATAATCGCGGATTTATATATTACATTGTAATTAAGATCCTTGACAAAATAGAATTTATATCGAAATCAAATCAGAGTACATATATTTATTATATACCTTTAAATGAAATATTGAGAAATATTGATGAAATAAAACGCTTATTTTCATTTTCGTACTTCACTGTAAAAAAGGATTTTAGTGAAACATATTTTCTGTGTATTCACTGGTGTCTTGCCGGACTTCTCTCTTTCAAATTTAAGGAATAGTTTTCTAAATTGTAATTTAAGAATAGAGACAAATGTATATAATAAACAGAAAATTCAAGTTTTTTCTATAAATACATGATTTATTTTCATATTGTGGCATGAAAATTATCACATTTCACTCGTGGATACCGCCACTCATGAAATATTTATTCTCATACCACTTGATGAAAATAAATCGTGTATTTACAGAAAAAACTTGAACATCCCCTATACATTTTAACATCTTTTGTATATTTGTCCTGCAGTTTATCTATGTACGAATTTATTTTTATGTGTTTAGGTTTTAGGACCTCAGTGAAGATCCTTTAATTAAATACCTTAACAAACTTATATATTATAAACCGTTTTTAACTTTAAGGTCCCAGCTTCTTTCAATATTTCATTTTGATACCACTTCCAATTGTTCTTGCGTCTTAATGCCCGAATGACGAATAAAAATTGTTTCGCGCATTTCACGTGATGGTGTGCCAACCACGTTAACTTTTTGGTCCTTCCGAATTATCCAGGCGGGGAACAATAGTTTCATATAAATACATAGCAAATTAAATCGTGTGACTGAAATGAGGTCGGAAAATGTTTTGCTGGCGTCTTTAACGGATTTGTATGGAAGCCCTGGAGGGACATTTTTTGTTATTTGTTATATGTTTTTAGTTATTTCTTATTTGTTACGAGTTATTAGTTATTTCTTATTTGTTACGACTTACACACGAGTTTCTCGACACTCGGCCATTTTGGCATGGATAGTGAAGACAGTGCACGTGGATTTAATCTTATTGGTGAATGTGGCTGTAACTGGAAATATTAGGTTTGTTAGATTTGGCTGTAACTGGAGATATTAGACTTGTTAAAATCCATCGTTTAATGTAACTGTAACTGGAGATATAAGACTTGTTAAAATTCATCTTTTAATTTGGCTGTAACTGGAAATATTAGGTTTGTTAGATTTGGCTGTAACTGGAGATATTAGACTTGTTAAAATCCATCGTTTAATGTAACTGTAACTGGAGATATAAGACTTGTTAAAATTCATCTTTTAATTTGGCTGTAACTGGAAATATTAGGTTTGTTAGATTTGGCTGTAACTGGAGATATTAGACTTGTTAAAATCCATCGTTTAATGTAACTGTAACTGGAGATATAAGACTTGTTAAAATTCATCTTTTAATTTGGCTGTAACTGGAAATATTAGGTTTGTTAGATTTGGCTGTAACTGGAGATATTAGACTTGTTAAAATCCATCGTTTAATGTAACTGTAACTGGAGATATAAGACTTGTTAAAATTCATCTTTTAATTTGGCTGTAACTGGAAATATTAGGTTTGTTAGATTTGGCTGTAACTGGAGATATTAGACTTGTTAAAATCCATCGTTTAATGTAACTGTAACTGGAGATATAAGTTCATAAGTTCATATAAAATTCATCTTTTAATTAATGCATTTGAAATGAAATAGAAGCTGAAAATGGTTAAATTTCTGCTAGCTATTTTCTTTACAGGGGTATTATATATATGCTGACAAAATGTATAGTTTGACAGTTCACAATCATGTTAGAAAAAATGTTTATAGTACATGTATGTTTATTTTCAGGGACTCGGAAAGACTTTGGTCAAGAAGTTGTCCACCTGAGTAGCCAAGATGCGGCTAAAGTAACTAGATTCAAATAATGGCTTACACCATTTTCAACACGTTGTTGCTATGTGCATGTTTAGTTTCTTGCGTAGAAACCATTGTGCCGTCAAATATTCCACATTTTGAAAATGGTCTTACCAGAAATGAGCTCATTAAAATATACTTTTTGGAAGGACTCTGAAATAGTCCTTTTTTTGTTCTGCTACCACAAAATTAAAATAAGCGTTCGTCAATTAAAGCGTGTTTTACGAAGTTTAAATCTAAGAAGACGCCCTACTCTATACTCGCCGGTGCATAATATTATAAATATGATAAAAGAGGAGATGCGGGTTAGTGGGGAGTGTATAGGTTATAGATCAATGTGGAAAAGGCTCATGAAGGATCATGGTGTGGTCATTAAAAGAAACGAAGTTATGCAAATAATGAGGCATCTAAACCCAAATGCAACGGAACAACGAAAAGCACATAAGTTAAAACGAAGGATATATTCGGTCAGAGGACCTAATTACGTATGGCATATTGACGGGTACGACAAATTAAAACCGTTTGGTTTCTGTATTCATGGATGCATCGATGGTTAAAGTCGACGAATAATGTGGCTTGAAGTAGCATCTAGCAATAACGACCCAGCAGTTATCGCAAAATATTATCTTGATTGTTTAAAACACTTTCAACTGGCTCCCAGAATTTTAAGGGCTGATAACGGGACAGAGAACAGCAGGGTGAGTTTTCTGCAACCGCTTTTAATATCATTTGACACAGTATGGGGGGGGATTAAATTTTTATGTATAGAAAACACGCAAACCAAAGATAAAAAGTTTAAATCGAAGCTTGGGTTTTATTGTAATTTTCAAAGACTATGGGATTCAGGATTTTTTGATATTTAAAACTGGTGTAAAAAAATCAGAGATTTTTTTTTTTGAGCCTTACAAACGGGTTTGGGTTAAATTGCTCAAAATTGGGAATTCTCACGAATCCACTCAAAAATTTCCGACTCCTCGGGAAGCCCGATTTATTTTTTTTCTAAATATAAGGTACACTTTTAAAAAATACTGAATCCAGATGATGTAAACATGTGCATTCAGTTGTACGGAAAAGAAAAAGAAACATGCAGTGCAAAATTTAAAGAAATAATCAACATTATAAAACCTGGTGTACGAGTTCCTGTCCACCCATACGAGGCATTGCTGCTTTTATTGAGCTAAATGATATTTTGGAAACATATCTATCATAGACAATTTCGTTCAAAATTGTTAGTCATTTAAGTCAATACATATATGAGCATCAACTTACTTCCTTTATAACCGACTTTGATTTTATTCATACCATGATATTATTCCAATCATTAAGTATAGATATGCCTTAACTGACTTAGAATGTCTGGTCACAGATTAGAATGGAAACAATCGTTGGACATTACTACATGTAACACTATGTCTGAAGTTAATCTTCAGCTTTGCAATAGTTTAAATGGGTTTCAGTTTATTCTAGAAAGCCATTTTTCACAATTAATTAAGTTTAAAACGCTTAAAAAGCACTACTTAAAAAGACTGAACATCCCTTAATTTATAGATTTTTTACGTCTCAAACAATAGTTTATTTTTCATAATAAGAAAAAAAACGACGTGTTTTACTCCAGGCAATAAATTAAATAAATTCAACATACATCCTATGTGTTTTTCTTATTTTAAACTGAAAAATAACAGTCTTTACAATAACTTACATAAGATATTAAATATTATAGATTAAGCATTGTGAAAATAATTATTCAGTAAAATAAAAATGTCACTTATTTTTTTCTGCTTTGTGTATTTAAAATCATGTCAGCAATCGGAATTCATCAATCATGTTCTGTTAATATAGTACAATATTATACCTCATTTGCATACGCTCTTCTATATTTAATATGACGTCATTCGGTCCATAAACCGCATACAGACCGGGGGCGGTCCATAATTCGTATATGGACTGGATGACGTCACATTAAATCTTAAAGTTCGGGTTATCTTTGCCTGTTTAATTTGATTAACAGAAATTGAATAACAAAAGAAGAGCATGATTTTGCTGCATCGCTTGAAAATAATAATTCCGACTAGGGTTTGAAATATTTCACACACTGAACAAATAAATTATTATTTGAAAGTAAATTATAGTAAAAATGTCAGCAACAAAAGAGATGAAAGGATTTAGATTCGGTATAATATAACAAATAAAACAAGACCTTTTATTTACTTAAATGTCAACATTGTCGATTTTTTAAATGTGTATCGATTACTAGTATTGATCGACAAAAAAACATCGATATTGTTTCTATTGATGACATATACTGTATAGGTATATATTATATTTGTTTTTCAATAATAATATTCAAATGAGTCCAAAGTTAAGTATGTTGATTATCAATTTATGTAGATCTATACCTTGTTTAATTTATCTGTAAGAAAGACATCACTTACAAAAATCAATAAATATTCTGTGTATTATTTCTTGTACATAAAAATAGTTCTCTGCTTTTGATCAGAAAGACAGCATGTCTTAAGGTTAGAGCTATTGACAGTATATATGGCACAGATCTTAGAGCTTTCACTGATTTAGTTTTAAATGCTTAAAAAAGGGTTCGCTGAACACATCAACTTACATATATTATTTAGTTCCTTAGTTACCGACTGGAAACCATTTGGTCAACGGACCGAAGTACCGTCAAACGGACAAATGCAAAGCAATAAACACCAACTTCTTTGAAAGGGGGGGGGGGCATAACTAGTCAAGACGGATATTATACCATATCCCATTGGCAATTTTTTGTCGAAATAAATCTTATTTGATTGACGAAAAAGAAACTAATCGTGTCACAAGAGGCAATGCCCTTTCCAGCCAGTGTACCAGAAGAAATAGCCACCATGACTTTGGTCAAGACGGGGAATCTAAATACCTGGTCAAGATAAGAAAACAACTGTTGAGGTACTTGATACATTTATTGACGTATAGAACATACATTGCATCACATAAATGATAGATTGTTGTGTAAAGTTTTTTCTTTTCCCAGCACCAATAGGGTTTTTATAATAGTGAAAAATTGACACTTTACATTCTGCAAGAAATATATAAAGTCATGACCATGGGCAGGCCACAAACGTATAGCCATCAGACAATGACAATTCACAATGATTTTCAAGTCTAATCCAAAAGTAAAAATCAGTAACTAAATTATTGTAAACCCTTCAACTCTCTATACAAGTTTTACTTGATACTGAGACAGATTAGTGATGATTTATTTCGAACAACTCAGTACATTATGAAGAACACTCATAGACTGAAACAGTTAATTTGTTTCAAACCAATGTCTTGTTCAAACTAAAGTACACACATTACAATATGTTGACTTTGTGACTTACTTCTTATCAGATGAAAAGCACAGAATTGCTCACTAAAGTCTTGTCATCATTATACTTTTTATAATTAACTAGAAATATGTACATAAGACACAGATGTCACAACTCATCTTTACATAGTTTTTGAATCCAACTGAAATAGTTTTTCTTTAATTCACTAAGTTTTACTAAAGCTGGGGAAAATGTGACCTCTAGAGCAATTTTCTAAGCATTTGATACCATGACTTAGTTGTTGTACTTTTTATGAGGAGGTAGTTAAATAGAAAGATTTCACGAAGTCAAAGTTTCTAACCTAATAACATTAACCGTTTGTCAAACACGTGACTTATGTGTATAAACAAATTACGTGTATTCCTTTGACTTAGGCATTAACCTAATGTGTGCAGAAATGAATTCTTCACCAACAATTATTCACTTAGATGAACACACATCTAATTAAGCCTTGTTAAGATCTGAATAGGAATATTGTTTTGTTGTACTTGACCTTATAACCTAGTTTTTGATGTGACCCGAATTCAAACTCGCCAAAGGTCTTCTGGCAATAAAATTTAAAAAAACTGTAGTAAAAAAGAGTAAAATATGCCCGCTTAAGAGTAAGCAAACTTAGAAGTGTATGCCAGACATGAAATCTAAACAAGAGCCACCGCTGGGAGGAGGAAACCCTTGACTTTTTTTACTTTTTCTAGTAGCAAACAAATGGTTTAAACAAATCTTAAAAAAGAATAAACAAATCTTAAATAAGAAAAAAAAGTAAGTTTTTCCTTTATAGAAATTTCAATAGAACTGTCTAGTCACACTTGTTGTTTTGTCCAAATATAAATCTTTTCCATTAACAAAGGAAAAATGTAAGAAAATATCAGCAAAATTCAATCATTTAATGGTCAAGGTCATTTAAAGTTCAAGGTCATATCTACATTACTCAACATCTCTGTTTGGTTTATAAGTGTTATTTTGTCCAGGTATGAATCAAATCTGTACAAAAAAAATAACAAAATTATGACAATATTCAATAATTTGACATTGACTGTCAAGATCATTAAAAGCTCAATGTCAAGGTCAGTTCCACCTTTAAGACATTGTCCAAAAAGGTTGTTTAATCCATTCATTAATTACATGTACCATGTATGACATTGAAGGTCTAAGTCATTTATAAATGAAGGTCAAGTTCAGTCTGGTCTACTTGAAGGTCTTAGCAAAAGGGTTGTTGTGGTCTAGTATGAAGATAATACACTAAGAACTTAAGAGTATAAATGTTCAAAAAAAAGTAATATTTATTAAACATTAAAAACTTTCACAAATAGCAATGGTTCAAATGGCATATAGCTTTTCCTACCAATAAAAATGTATGTGCTTGCATGAAAAGGTCAAACTAAAGATAACAAACAATTTTCAAAGTATTGCAAACAATACTAAAGTTCCCTACCAGCTAGAACCCCACAATACATTTGTCAGGAACATTCTGAAGGGCCTCGGCACTTTAATAATGCCATTGTCGAAGACATATTCATTCTTAAAGGTTTGTATGTATCATCCTTATGTGGTAAATATCCCTGCATAGTAAGAAAATTATGTTTATATCACAGATAATTAAAAAGATCAGAACTGTTGATGTATATGAACCTTGCCATTATGATGTAGGTGATGATAGGAAACATATAAAGTTTGAAGTAGATTCATTAAGGGGAGTAAATCTTATAATTTTGGTGCTAGAGTTGTGAACCTTGAGATGCATAATCTCCATAATGCAATCTATTTATATTTTAAGTTTCAAAAAAAATATTTTCAGTACTTTTGCATTAGCACAAGTATTGTTATATTTACCAAATTTTAAGTCTATTTGTTGCCATATCAATCAAATTCAACATAGGAAGACATAAAAAAGAGATTTACATAATCTACAGACTATCATCTACCTGTATTTTAGGTTTCTTAAAAATATTGTCCATACTTTTTGCGTTATCTAGCAATCCAGTTTTTGTTATATTTGCCTTATTTTAATTCTATTGTTGCCATAGCAACAAAATTTTTCAAGACATGCATAACCTCCAGTCTGCCATCTACCCATATTTCAAGTTTCATAAAAAAAAATGAGTTTTTTTTCAGTTATCATGGGATTAAGTTTTGTGAATAGACGGACAGACAGACGAACGGAGGGTAAACCTAAAGTCTCCTCCGGTTAAACCAGTAGGGGACTAAAAAAAGAACAAAAATATTAATATATGTACACATAGTTGATGTGCTGTTTCAGAATTATTAATTTTGAAACATACATCAACTCCAAGAACATAATAGTTTTCCTAACTTCACAGAAAAAGAATGTTTTATCAACAAAGCAAAGAAAATTCTCACAGAAACACAGTTTTTTTGTCTATAACATATTTCTTTCATGACTGTTGATTTGTATTAATGAAATTTCTCTTCAGTGAATTGTAATCTAAATTTTCAAATGACATTTCTTTTACATGTAAATACAATTATGTACAATGTACATCATTTGCTCTGTAAAATATTCTTCAGACTTAGGAGAATTTTAAAAATGATATATCCTCTCCTTTTATAACCACTATCACTGAATCAGTTTTCAGCTAACTAATTAGCGGACTCCTACAAAACCATGAAAACAGTTCACTATTTGAATAGCACGAGGTCTTTCACAATCATTATAGCTCAATCCCTTATTCAGAAGGTTGTAGATTTTACTCTCAACATTTTCATTGTAAGTATCAGCCAGGGCTGCTAGTACTTCTAACCCATCTGGTTTGGCTTGCAGTTTCATCTTATTCATTATATACATCACTGGTTCATCAGAAGTGTTCCAGACAGGCAGTTCATTAAATATTTCCACAAGAGTACAAGCAAGACTCCAAATGTCTGTCATTTCATTTGCACTTTGCCTGTTAAGAAGAATCTCTGGTGCCTGATATGCAGGAGTTCCTGGCTGTAAGCAAACACCAGCCATAGTTGTGGTAACAGTGTTCATTGTCTTGAGCTTGCTAATACCCATATCACATAACTTCACTACACCAAAATTGTTTGCAACAAGTATATTTTCAGGCTTTATATCCCTATGTATGATCATTGGGTTTTGCGCATGTAAGTATGCAATAGCTTGGGATACCATTAAAGAAACATTTAATTTCACAGACATGTTCATACACATTGCATCATTACCAAAAAGACAATTGTCTAAAGTAAGGCCATCAATAAGTTCTGAAATCAAATATAATCGATCCTTTTCCAAAGCAAATGCCATCAGCATAACAATATTAGGATGCCTAAGTTGTGAATGGACACAAAGTTCACGATCAACTAGTGGTTTTGCAACCTTAATTCTCTTGATCCTGATTTCTTTTATGGCCACTTTAGTGCCTATCCATAACCCTTTATATACTATGCCAAATCCACCTCTTCCAATTTCTTCACCTAAGTTGACATCAGCTAAGTTAACCTTTGGTACTGTACAAGAGAGTGTATCAAATGCCTGTGGTAACTGAGTACTTGGCTGTTGCAAAGAGGTCTTTGTATCTGACTGAGTGCATGCCTGTGACTGAGAGTTGAAAGTCTGTATCTCGGAGGTGAATGTCTGTGACTGAGAAATGAATGTTTGTGGCTGTGTGATGAAAGTCTGTGGCCATGTGATGAAATTCTGTGGTTGAGAGGTGAAAGTCTGTGGCTGAGAGGTGAATGTCTGTGTCTGAGAGCTGAAAGTCTGTGGCTGAGGGCTGGAAGTCTGTGGTTGAGAGGTGAATGTCTGTGGCTGAGGGCTGGAAGTCTGTGGCTGAGAGGTGAATGTCTGTGGCTGAGAGGTGAAAGTCTGTGGATGAGAGGTGAAAGTCTGTGGCCATGTGATGAAATTCTGTGGCTGAGAGGTGAATGTCTGTGGCTGAGAGGTGATTGTTTGTGGCTGAGAGCTGAAAGTCTGTGGCTGAGAGGTGAAAGTCTGTGACTGAGAGGTGAATGTCTGTGGCTGAGGGCTGGAAGTCTGTGGCTGAGAGGTGAATGTCTGTGGCTGAGGGCCTGGAAGTTCTGTGTGGATTTGAGAGGTACAACGTGCTGTGGTTGCTGATGATGGTGTGATATAGATTCATCGGATAGTTCTGAGAGTTGTGAGCAGTCGTGTGGATCTGAAGACGGTGTGTGAGTCTGTTGCATAGAGAGAGAATATAGATCTTTGGCTGAGAGGTGAATGTCTGTGGCTGAGAGGTGAACAAGTTATGCTATTTAACAGACATTGTAGTAATGCATTTTTATTCCAATATTCATTATAGTGTTAAAGTTGTATTATGTATCTTTTTGATGAGCAGGTTTAATTCTTCCGAACATTATCCAAATATTCGTACCCAAGTGTTAATGTGTCATCTACATGTAAAATTTATATGTGAGAACAACTGATAATTATTATTACGTAATGAGAGCAAGATGATGTGAATCTGTAATGTGAAAACCGAGTGTTTTATATTTGCTACTTATTAAGAATCTCTCTGTCTGTAGAATTCTATGTTATAATTTTACAGGGATTTTATAATCTTCTACAGTAGATGACGTAGATGAAACACCACATCCTCGATTTGTTCTGTAGCAGTATTATAGTGTTGATTACATGTAGTAAGCTGATGAGCAGGTTTTAACATCTTGAATGAACATTACCAAATTTCAGTTGTTGATGACGTCGACCCATTACTATTGAATTACAACAGCCGGCCAGGTGGACTGGCTTAGACAAATGGTTACGTTCTGTAGAGAAAAGATTAGCAGAAGGTGACGATCTCAAGTGCGATTTCAACAGTGGTATGAAAGGTCCAATATAAAGATCTTTTAGTCATCGATGGAGAGTAAAATCAGTTTAGCTTAGCAATCGAATCGTTGTTGAAGTTAGTGAAGTGACTCAAGTATGGATCTTGTATCACATGACTTTTTTGACAAATTAAAGAGAGCGGTAGAACTTAGATAATAGAGTAATTCAGCAAAGATTAAGGTGAGAGGAAGAAAGAGGTGAGATCAAAAGTTTCGAGTTATTGATATAAAGCTTGACATTATGATTCGTGAAGAAGGGCAGTGTATAAAGCAAGAGATGGTGAGATTTTAGCGATGTTTCTTTAGATCAAAAGTGTATAGAGAGCCATTACTGATGCACAAATTAAAAATAGACTTGAGAGAAAAATGGAGATTAAATGTTTCAAGGAAGAGACGAGGTATGAAATGATAACGCAAGACAGTGATGATCTTTTTGATGAATTGAATTGATGGATAGTGTGTACAGAAGTAGAATCGAGATAATGTTAGGTGGTTGAAAGTAGTTGCAATGAAAAAGAAGCAGATGAAAAAACCTTAGTATTGACGAAAATCTTATTGAAACTAGTTCAAAATTAATGAATTTATATAGAAGGAGGCGGATGAAGGTAAAGAAATAGATCTTCGGAGGCTTAGAATCCAAGTTTTTTTGAAAATCTTTGATTGATAAATTGCTTTTCATAGAATGAGCTTTATCATAGACATTTGAAAGCATTCTGAGGTGTTATTAACTGTGTGGAACAGCTAACAAGTGTTGTTTGTTATAGTGTTTGAACAGTTAGATAGTGCAGATGGGCGGGATCAGTGCAATGTGTTACTAGAAAGATACTTCTTTAAACCTGTTTGGAATTACCTACTCGCTCTATTCAGGTAAAGATGGTCATGGTTTTAAATTAAGTTCTTTATTATACCCCCACAAACGAAGTTTAGGGGGGGTATATAGGAGTCAGCTTGTCGGTCGGTCGGTCGGTCCGTCGGTCCGTCCACATCATGGTTTCCAGACGATAACTAGAGTTTGGAGTGAGGTATTGTAATCAAACTTGGTATATAGCAACCTTAAGTGGAAACCCCGGTTGGTATTGTATCTGGACCCCCTGGGGCCAAGGTCAAGGTCACTGTTACTAAAAATAGAAAAATGGTTTCCGGACAATAACTTAAGTTAGGAATGAGATATTGTAATCAAACTTGGTATATAGCAAGCTTATATGAAAACCCCGGTTGGTATTGCATCTGGACCCCCTGGGGCCAAGGTCAAGGTCACTGTTACTAAAAATAGAAAAATGGTTTCCGGACAATAACTTAAGTTAGGAATGAGTTATTGTAATCAAACTTGATGTACAGCAAGCTTATATGAAGACCCCGGTTTGTATTGCATCTTGACCCCCTGGGGCCAAGATCAAGGTCACCGTTACTAAAAATAGAAAAATGGTTTCCGGACAATAACTAAAGTTAGGAATGAGATATTGTAATCAAACTTGGTATATAGCAAGCTTATATGAAGACCACGGTTGGTATTGCATCTGGAACCCCTGGGGCCAAGGTCAAGGTCACCTTTACTAAAAATAGAAAAATGGTTTCCGGACAATAACTAAAGTAAGGAATGATACATTGTAATCAAACTTGGTGTTTAGCAAGCTTACATGAAGACCGCACTTGGTATTGCATTTTGACTCCCTGGGTTCAAGGTCACAGTTACTAAAAGTAGAAAAATGGTTTCCAGACAATTACTAGGGTTAGGAATGAGATATTGTTATCAAACTTGGTGTATAGCAAGCTTATATCAAGATCAAGATAGTTGGGATTGCAATAAATTGAAATAATTCTTTGTACACAGTGCTGATGGTACTTTATTTACTGTAGGTTTATTTCAAATTTTTCTTCAGACAACTTATTGTTCAAGAGTCAAAGTTGCTGGTGGGGGTATTAATCACCTTCAGTGATAGGTCTAGTTATTTTTTAATTTTATCTAAAAGCAGCAGTTGTATGGATAATTATAAGTGATAAAGATTTTTTGTCCATTTTGATATTTATGATTTGCCCAAAGTATAAGAATATTGAGTTTCAGGTAAAGATGGTTATGGTTTTATTTAAAGTTCTTTATTATTTGTATCTATTTTTATTGGCACCTAAAGCAGTAGTTTTAATTATGGATAAGTGATAAAGATTTTTTGTTGATTTTGTTATTCATGATTGATCCAAAGTATCAGAAATGTGGAGTTTAATGATGTTTAATGATAAGATCTTTTAATAATATATTCACCTTACTTTTATTTTACCATTTTATTTAGGTATTGCTATTCTCAAATATAATTTGTGTACTTTTTAGCTCACCTGACCACGAAGTGGTCATGGTGAGGTATAGTGATGGGGCTATGTCCGGCGTGCGTCGTCGTGCGTCGTTCGTCGTCAACAATTGGGTTGTTAACAGTCTAGCAGTCACAGTTTTGATTGGATCATCATCAAACTTTGTCAGAATGTTTGTCTCAATGAAATACAGATCGAGTTCGAAGATGGGTTATCTCGGGTCAAAAACTAGGTCACAGGAGCTAAAAATAGAAAAAGCTTGTTAACACTCTATAGGCTGCAGTTTTCATCCAAATATTCTGGAAATTTGTCAGGAAGGTTGTTTTGATGATATCTAGGTCAAGTTCGAAGATGGGTCATCTCCGGTCAAAAACTAGGTCACAGGAGCTAAAAATAGAAAAAGCTTGTTAACACTCTAACAATTGGGTTGTTAACAGTCTAGCAGTCACAGTTTTGATTGGATCATCATCAAACTTTGTCAGAATGTTTGTCTCAATGAAATACAGATCGAGTTCGAAGATGGGTTATCTCGGGTCAAAAACTAGGTCACAGGAGCTAAAAAATGAAAAAGCTTGTTAACACTCTAGAGGCTGCAGTTTTCATCCAAATATTCTGGAAATTTGTCAGGAAGGTTGTTTTGATGATATCTAGTTCAAGTTTGAAGATGGGTCATCTCTGGTCAAAAACTAGGTCACGAGCTAAAAATAGAAAAAGCTTGTTGACACTCTAATAATTGGGTTGTTAACAGTCTAGCAGTCACAGTTTTGATTGGATCATCATCAAACTTTGTCAGAATGTTTGTCTCAATGAAATACAGGTCGAGTTCGAAGATGGGTTATCTGGGGTCAAAATCTAGGTCACAGGAGATAGAAATAGAAAAAGCTTGTTAACACTAGAATCTGCAGTTTTCATCCAAATATTCTGGAAATTTGTCAGGAAGGTTGTTTTGATGATATCTAGGTCAAGTTCGAAGATGGGTCATCTCCGGTCAAAAACTAGGTCACAGGAGCTAAAAATAGAAAAAGCTTGTTAACACTCTAGTGGCTGCAGTTTTCATCCAAATATTTTGGAAATTTGTCAGGAAGGTTGTTTTGATGATATCTAGGTCAAGTTCGAAGATGGGTCATCTCCGGTCAAAAACTAGGTCACAGGAGCTAAAAATAGAAAAAGCTTGTTAACACTCTAGTGGCCGCAGTTTTCATCCAAATATTCTGGAAATTTGTCAGGAAAGTTGTTTTGATAGTTTCTAGGTCAAGTTCAAAGATGGGTCATCTCCGGTCAAAAACTAGGTCACAGGAGCTAAAAATAGAAAAAGCTTGTTAACACTCTATAGGCTGCAGTTTTCATCCAAATATTCTGGAAATTTGTCAGGAAGGTTGTTTAGATGATATCTAGGTCAAGTATGAAGATGGATCATGTCTGGTCAAAAACTAGGTCACAGGAGCTAAAAATAGAAAAAGCTTGTTAACACTCTAGTGGCTGCAGTTTTCATCCAAATATTCTGGAAATTTGTCATGGAGGTTGCTTAGATAATATCTAGGTCAAGTTCGAAGATGGGTCATCTCCGGTCAAAAACTAGGTCACAGGAGCTAAAAATAGAAAAAGTTTGTTAACACTCTAGTGGCTGCAGTTTTCATCCAAATATTCTGGAAATTTGTCAGGAAGGTTGTTTTGATGATATCTAGGTCAAGTTGGAAGATGGGTAATGTCCGGTCAAAAACTAGGTCACAGGAGCTAAAAATAGAAAAAGCTTGTTAACACTCTAGTGGCTGCAGTTTTCATCCAAATATTCTGGAAATTTGTCAGGAAGGTTGTTTTGATGATATCTAGGTCAAGTTGGAAGATGGGTTATCACCGGTCAAAAACTAGGTCACAGGAGCTAAAAATAGAAAAAGCTTGTTAACACTCTAGTGGCTGCAGTTTTGATTAAAATATTCTGGAAATTTGTCAGGAAGGTTGTTTTAATGATTTCTAGGTCAAGTTCGAAGATGGGTCATGTCTGGTCAAAAACTAGGTCACAGGAGCTAAGAATAGAAAAAGCTTGTTAACACTCTAATGGTTGCAGTTTTCATCCAAACATTCTGGAAATTTGTCAGAAAGGTTGTTTTGATGATTTCTAGGTCAAGTTTGAAGATGGGTCATCTCAGGTCAAAAACTAGGTCACAGGAGCTAAAAATAGAAAAAGCTTGTCAACACTCTAATGGCTGCAGTTTTCATCTAAATATTCTGGAAATTTGTCAAGAAGGTTGTTTTGATGATATCTAAGTCAAGTTGGAAGATGGGTCATCTCCGGTCAAAAACTAGGTCACAGGAGCTAAAAATAGAAAAGCTTGTTAACACATTAGGGGCTGCAGTTTTCATCCAAATATTCTTGAAATTTGTCAGGAAGGTTGTTTTGATGATGTCTAGGTCAAGTTCGAAGATGGGTTATCTCCGGTCAAAAACTAGGTCACAGGAGCTAAACATAGAAAAAGCTTGTTAACACTCTAGTGGCTGCAGTATTGATTCAAATATTCTGGAAATTTGTCAGGAAGGTTGTTTTGATGATTTCTAGGTCAAGTTTGAAGATGGGTCATCTCAGGTCAAAAACTAGGTCACAGGAGTTAAAAATAGAAAAAGCTTGTTTACACTCTAGTGGCTGCAGTTTTTATTCAAATATTCTGGAAATTTGTCAAGAATGTTGTTTTGATGTTTTCTGGGTCAAGTGCTAAGATTGGTCATGTCCGGTCAAAAACTAGGTCACAGGAGCTAAAAATAGAAAAATCTTTTTAACACTCTAGTGGCTGCAGTTTTGATCCAAATTTCCTGGAAATTGGTCAGGAAGGTTGTTTTGATGATTTCTAGGTCAAGTTTGAATAAAGGTCGTGTCCAGTCAAAAATTAGGTCACATTGCCCAAATATGGAAAAATCTTTATAACACACTAGAGGTCACATGTTTGACTCAGTCGCATCAAACTTGGTCATGATGCTTGTTTAAGACATTGCTTGGATGCGGTTGTGTCAGGTGAGCGATCCAGGGCCATCATGGCCCTCTTGTTTGGCATATTTGTCAGCAATGATTCAGGTATGAAATCGAAGGTGAAAAATTTAAAGAGTGAGACTAAAAAAAGGATTGGAGCAGGACACTAAATACAGTATTCCGGTATATACCGAACAAGATGCTTGAATGATAAAATGCTAAAATCTTGTCTTTTTACCCAACGGAATGAACTTTAACAAGTCTAATTCATCTTTTCACACCGATTTATGTATGATTATGAATGAAAAATGTAAAAATTAGCAAAAAAAAAAACCCCGATATTTGTGTATTTTGTGATCATGATTTCTGCAAGCGTCTAGAGGTACTGCTCCAATCCTGTATTGAGTTAAGTCCAAAAATATATATGACATGATATGTATAAACAATGTCTAAAATTGATTTAAGGTAGTCTTACTGTAATGATTTCCCACCAAAAAATAATAACATAGACCAGTATTGTAGCAGATTGGTTATTTCCAGAACTTTATTTTTTCAACATCTTGGGTATTTGATGATTTACGATCACTCATCCATTATTGCAATGCACTAATTTCTGGTTATACATGGTTAAAAATTATTGAATACCGAAGATTGTGAAAAATAATGTTCCGGAAATGACTGATTTATTACGACTTTGAAGGGAAAGCATTACAGTAAGACTACCTTAATTCAATTGAAATGTACTCAGTGATATACTGAATTGACATACATAAGTTTTGATTTTTTCAGACTTGCAAATGAACCCAAAGAGATTGCTTTAGCTTTCATAATGACTGAGAACCAGTCCTGTGTACCGCAGACATTTGCAGTAAGAGAGAAACTTTGCTTAGGAGCAGTCGAAGCGAATGATGAAGATCCATACCAGTCTGCTGTCACAGAACTTGTAGACATTATCAAATGTTCAACAATGTTAGAAAAGTTAGACTGTTTGGGTAAGTTTGGTTCTATCTTAAGGCCACTGATAGTAAAGTTTGTTTGTAAATGAACCATCATTTGAGCCACGTCACGACAAAATCTGCACAGTCTGAACAGGATCCATGCTGTTTGCTTACAAACCCTATAACAAGTAGAGAAACTGATAGCGAACAGCATGGATCCTGATCAGACTGAGCGGATGCGCAGGCTGGTCTGGATCCATGCTGGTTGCAAACCCACTATGTTGGTTTTGTCATGTTGCGGCTCATTTGTTTTCTATTTTAGAAATGAGAGTAGAGAGATTGTGTATGTAAAAATCAAGTTATACTGGTTTTTTTTGCTCACCTAACTTTCAAGTTTCCAGAAGTTGTTGGTCTTTGGGTGGTAGTCAGTCATTATTCACAATTTCTTTAAACAACATCTTTGTTTATCTACACGATAGACTGTTGCTAAAGGTACCTAATCCTAATCCTTACTAAATTTTGACGCATGTAAATGGTTTTTAGTCTGATGCCTAAGTAAGTTACAGAGACTAGAATTAAATTTAAACTAGAAATGTGTTCAAAGGACACGGATGCCCCAACTTTCTGCTGTTTTGTGTTGTCTAGGTACTGACATAAAGACAGATTGACAAGACGAAAATTATATGCCACCCCCTTTCCCCCCAAAGTGAGGGAATGAAAAAAATCTAGACTTAGATATTTTATATGTAGCATCACCTTGTAGGCCTCTACAAAAGTTTTATGAATTATGCCCTTTGGATCAAAATTAAACCTTGAGGGTCACTTAGTTTACATAGCCATCTGGAGCCATCATTACATTCTTGTTTCTGTTATGTGTTTGTTTTTTCTTACATGAAGATATGTTTATATAATTATTCTTTGTCTTTTAACCCTTTCCCCCATGAGCATATTGTGAAAAAAGGCCATTTTCACTGAAAAGCCTCCTGTTACAAGTTCAAACTGCTATGAAACTATGAAAAATGCTTCAATACTAATCAAACTTGGCACAAATGATGACTGGACCATTGCCTTTGTAACGACATGCTCAGTCTTAAATTTCCTGTTACCATGGCAACGAGGGGACATCTCAAAATTGCCAAAAATCACTTTTGTGCCTCGATTTTTTCCATCAAAATTTATTTCAAAGTGCTGCAACTTCTCAAGGGATTGAGATAGAGTCAAAGGCTTTTCAGCGTTGGTTACACGTTACCTTAGGATTGACCTGGGTTCATTTTAAGCCTCTCACAAGTCCAAAATTTTCTTGGCGATGAGGGGGACTCCGCTCCCTTTCTGGCAACCCCCTGATGTAATATTTGGATGGGGGACGGCGCCGAAAAAATGGTCACTTTTTTTAACAACATTTCTCAAACGAAAGACAGTGTTTGGGGCCTAAATAGGACATTTTTTCACTGTTTGAGGCCTCAAAAGGGGGGGGGGGCAAAAAGCTGTCGAAACACGCTTATATAAGGAAAAAGGTTAAAAACATGGTTTAATGGTCATTGTCCTCTTTCACAGATGTCTGTGGACCAAATTAAACTTAAATTTATTACTCAGCATATTGTCAGTGGATCAAGTTTGAATATATATACATACATGTTATATTATGTTAACATTTTTTTTCAGTCAGATCATCAAAAGAAGTGATGCATTGTGTTGAATTGTATTATAAAGAGAGAGATCAGGAAGCGCCAAGTCTGTATGTCTATACATTTTGTACTTTAATCAAAACAATTAGAAGTATATATAATAGTTTAAATTAAGAGTATATTTAAAAATTCAATAAAACTCAAGACTCATGAAAATGCATGTTTCTCCTCTTGTTTATAGCTTTACTTTGAGGAATAAGTAGAGCTATTGTAGTCACCACGACATCAGTGGTGGTGTCACACTTAAGTTAGATTTAAGTGTGTAAGTTTCTACCTCCAAAACAACTGAAAGGAATGGGCTTAACTTCACACACTTGTTTCTGTAATAATTTAGCATGATGAGGTCAAGTCCACCTTCTAACAGTCAAGGCTTTTCTTATTTTTTTGTCAAACTCTAAACAAAAATCAATCCCACTGTCTTAAGGACATCTTTTGTTAATTTTTAACTTGATTATATAAAAAATAGGTAGAGTTATTGTACTCACCCAGGTGTCTGTGTGACTGTCTCATGTTGGTTAAGTGTTTGTGGTCAAGTTGGTATCTCCAAAATTATCGAAGGGAATGTATTGAAATTTCACATACTTATAGAAGGGAATATATTGAAACTTCACATACTTATAGAAGGGAATATATTGAAACTTCACATACTTATAGAAGGGAATATAATGAAACTTCACATACTTATAGAAGGGAATATAATAAAACTTCACATTCTTATAGAAGGGAATATAATAAAACTTCACATACTTATAGAAGGGAATATAATAAAATTTCACATTCTTATAGAAGGGAATATAATGAAACTTCACATTCTTATAGAAGGGAATATAATAAAACTTCACATACTTATAGAAGGGAATATAATAAAATTTCACATTCTTATAGAAGGGAATATAATAAAACTTCACATACTTATAGAAGGGAATATAATAAAATTTCACATTCTTATAGAAGGGAATATAATAAAACTTCACATACTTATAGAAGGGAATATAATAAAATTTCACATTCTTATAGAAGGGAATATAATAAAACTTCACATACTTATAGAAGGGAATATAATAAAATTTCACATTCTTATAGAAGGGAATATAATGAAACTTCACATACTTATAGAAGGGAATATAATGAAACTTCACATACTTATAGAAGGGAATATAATGAAACTTCACATGCTTAAAGAATGGAATATAATGAAACTTCACATACTTATAGAAGGGAATATAATGAAACTTCACATACTTATAGAAGGGAATATAATGAAACTTCACATACTTATAGAAGGGAATATAATGAAACTTCACATGCTTAAAGAAGGGAATATAATGAAACTTCACATACTTATAGAAGGGAATATAATGAAACTTCACATACTTATAGAAGGGAATATAATGAAACTTCACATACTTATTTGAGAGCAGAGTAGGAGGTCATCATCCAAAGCCAATAACTCTAACATACAATTTGACAGAACTATGGCCCTTTTTGAACATAGACAATTCTACATTATCCAGGCTCTTCTTTAACTATCAAGATTGAGATGTGGTCAAGTGTATGCCGTCCTACCGACAGCTCGTTTTTTAAAAACTATACAAGTTTTGCTTTATAACATTAAAATTTGGTTTTGAAGATTTTTTAATTAGTCATATGGCTTTATATAAAAGTGTTTTTGCAATATAACCCTCACCTAGTGGTTGAGGCCGTATAAGCTCACAATAATTAAACTGGGTTATATAAACTGTCAAAATAATCTTTACCTTATAATACATGTACATTATCATATTTTCAGGGGAGCAGATGATTTACTACCTGTACTGTGTTATATTGTTGTTAAAAGTAGCTTACCTCAGCTTGTATCAGAATGCCATGCAATGGAAAAACTTATACATGAAGGGTAATGAATATTAATTCTTCTTAATTATTTAAAATTGGTGATATATAAATGGCATAAAACTATATGGAGACTTTTTAATGAAATTCTCAGTTTTATTGGTTTGAAGCTGAAGGTGTGTGTAAATACATTATTATGACATAGTAATTTTATAAGAAAGGAGAATGATTTTATAAGTCATAGGTAAATATTTTTATTTCATTGTACATAGTTAGGAGATGAGTGATAACAATCTCAAACATCTCATAACAAAACTTAAAACTTTTGTGTTAATTTATAGATGATTTGCTTTTAGAATTACATGTATATGACAATATATTTCATCTAGTTTTTCGTGTTTCTGGTTCTTTACATGATTGTTTGCTAGTTCTTCAGCTGTTTTCATTGAAGTAAATTATATACATGTATTGATATTCATTGAATTGGATGCAATGTGTACAAACTTCAGTACCAAATGTCATGAATTTCAATTAGATATGACATGTTGCTAAGAACGTGAATATGTTAAATTTCTCTTTGATTTGCTGGCTGGGCACTACGATTTTATATAAACCGGATTTGGCACCGGCTGGATTGTATAGACATGAATTCCACATTTCCTGATATTTTTGTGCCATTATACTGACTAGAAATTGTTTTGTTTAATACTTTCAGTCTAGAAATGAGAAATGTAAGGTATATTACTACATGTACATGTATGTTAAAGGTTATGTAAAATATAGGTCAAAAGAAAGATTAATTGGTCCAACATAGTAAAGATTGCTACACCACTTGTATAAGTTTCATGAAGTAATGAATAAGTCTTACAGTGACAATATTCTCTATTTTTCATTGTCAAATTGAACTGAATAGACTATATGTTTCAAAAGATTTCGCTGTTATAAAGGTGATAACCAACAGCTATTGATATTGTAGAATGTTAATATTGAATAAAATATTACCTGCCTATATTGAATGTAACAGATAAATTCTGATTCTGTTGGGCCACACAAGTTTTTTAACTTTAATGTGCAGTTTATTATAAAATTGCAAGGAATTATGACAAAATATAAATTTATTTTGACTTTCCCTTGTTAAGTCACTATATACTTGGGTATAATGTCACTTTAATTGTTTAATTATGTATATTACATTTATTTACAGGTATATGTTCGGTGAGGAAGGTTACTGTCTAACATCATTTCAGACGGCCATTAATTATCTCATATCTGAATGTATTGGAAACCAGGAGGCTTGATGTGACTGACATTAAATAAAGCACTCTTTTACGATTATATCATATAATTATATGTGATATTTCACTCATTTATTATGCCCCACTTCAAAGAAGTGGGGGTATATTGCTTTGCATTTCTGTCTGTCAGTCTGTCCATCAGTCTGTAGACCAAATGGTTTCCGAGTGATAACTAGAGAATGCATTGGCCTAGGAACTTCAAACTTGGTATGATTATTGTTCATGACCAACAGATGACCCCTATTGATTTTGGAGTCAAGGAGGCAAAGGTTAAGGTCATATTGACCTTGTAGGTAAAAACAGCTTCCCATCAATAACGTGACGAGCTATAGGCTAGTGGCCCTCAAACTTTGTAGGTGCATTGGTCTTGGCCAGTAGATGACCCCTTTGATTTTGGGGTCAAAGGTCAAGGTGACACTGACCTTGTATGTCAAAACGGTTTTCTATCAATAACTGGACAACCCATGGACCATTGACCTTTAAGCTTTACAGATGCATTGCTTTTGGTCAGAAATGACCTTGATGGATTTTTTGGGTTAAGGGGTCAGAGGTCAAGATCACATTGACCTTATAGGTAAAATATCTTTCTGATAAATATCCGAACAACTCATGGGCCCTTTACCTTCAAACTTCACAGGTGCATTGGTCTTGGCCAGTAGATAACCCCTATCGATTTAAGGGTCAAAGGTCAATGTCATATTGACCTTGTATTTAAAGACGGTTTCTGACCAATAACTCAACAACTCAAGTTGTTGGGTTGATATTTTTATATTAAACCAAAACTGGTTTTGGTATACACATTCCAAGGTCTTATGTAATATAACAACTTGGCTTTCGTTAATGAGGCCTACTTGATTCATAAAATTTATGCATATATTACTTAGTAAGATTTATAATACTTTTGTCATAAAATCGCTGCGCACAACCTTTGCGGTCACAATTGCCTAGTGACTAATTAATCCTTATTGATTTTATATTTTGGTCACTAGGTCAAAAGTCAGTCATAATAACATAATCACATGACTAATTGGCAGCCGATAGGGGGCATACATGTTTTACAAAGATATCTTGTTTTTTTTTAACTTTGTTGAATGATGATTTATTTATGATGCATTATCTTTTACCAAATGTGATAATTAAATGTGACGCAGATCAAGAAAAATGTGTTTTTATTTCTATAGTTTATATATACTATGTTAAAAATGTTCAATGGAAGAATATAGTTTTTTGTTGGATTTTCCATTAATTCACAAAAAATCTATTTAATATTTTAGATGAAATTTGATTTAGTTCTATCAAGAAAATCCCATGCTCAAAGGTTAAGGTCACTGCAGGTTACTGAACTTGGCATATGTTTCATGTACATAAAGTCTGAAGTGCTGTTGGAGTTTGAATCTCGGCTTAAACTTAACACTACCAGCAATAGAGAATGTGCTGTGTGCAAGGTCAAGGGATTGAAGTTTATTTAAATTATATGCAGCTGGAGTTTGTGCCTGCATGCATGATGGAATTTTAAAAGAAATTGGTATATGGATACTATTAAAAGGCAATATGTTGTTTTGAGTCCATACATGTATCTTCAAAGTTAAGGTCAAACTTGGAGGTCAAATGTTGAATTCTATCTAGCTTATAACTTTGCCATTACTTGATGGGTTGTCAGAATATTTGGCATATATCTTCACCAATGTCAGACTGTGTTGCATGCTGGACACATGTTCCCACCTTTAAGGTCAAACCTGAAGGTCATTTGTTGAGGTCAAAGATTAGCCTTACAACTCTGGTCATTACTTGATAAATTATTTGGTGAATGTCTTCACAAGACCTATGTCTGCAACATCAAATGTTGGACTTGAGGTCAAAGGTCAAATCGAGTTTGTGCACTATCCTCTTTGGTTTAAAACTCTTTTTATGCCACTGCCATAATAATGGCAAGGGGGCATATAGTACTATCCCTGTCTGTATGTTTATAAGTGTGTGCGTATGGAAACAAATAGACTGAAAATATGTTTAATTTAGCACATAAACTGGATCCAATGATAAGGCAAAAAGTACTGAAAATATTTTTTATGAAACTTGAAATATGGGTAGATGATAGCCTGGAGATTATGTACGTCTTTTTCTTTCCTCTCTGTGCTTAAAAAGTTGGTTGCTATGGCAACAAATAGCTTTAAAATATGATAAATATAACATTTGCGATTACTAAAAAAGTTGTGAAAACATTATTATGAAACTTGAATAATAGATAGATGGCAGTATGGAGATAATACACATCATTTTTATCTTAACTACAGCCCCGGGAGTATATTGAGACCAAGCGTCGGCAACCTCGTTAGATTTCTGATTCAAGTTTTTATGCTTTTTTTACTATAATAAGTTCTTCATTTCTGAAGGTATATACTCCAAACTTCAAATAAATGTTTCTGGTTTCTGATCATCATGCAACCACATTATATCTGAAAAGGTTTACAACTCTAGCACAAAAATTATCAGAATTACCCCCTTGAACTTATATTTTTTTTTTTTAAAAAAGGGAAAAAAATGTTTTGTTTTAGAACTTCTCTAATAAGTGGCATGGTGATTTTTTTGGATCGTTTTTTGTACGGCGTCTATTGTCTGTCCGTCCGTTGTCTGTCCATAAACTTACTTTAAACGACAATTTCTACTAAACCGCTTAGCCAACTTCATCCAAGCTTCACAGGAATGTTCCTTTAGTGGTCACCTTTAAAAATTGTTCAAAGAATATAATTTCATGCAGAACTTTGGATGCCATTGCAACCAAAAGAAAAAAATCTTAAAAAACCTTCTTTAAAAAACCCAAAGAGCTAGAGCTTAGGTATTTAGCACGAAACATCATCTAGCGAGTGTCAAACAAGTTTGTTCAAATAAGAGCCCTTTTAAAAAACATCAAAGAGTGAAGCTTAGATATTTAGCAGGGAAATGTCTACCAAGTTTATTCAAATAAAGCCCTTGGGTCAAAATTGCCTCCACCCCGGGAGTCATTGTTTTTTATTAAATGAATATAGGAAAAAATCTTCTTTAGAGCTAGAGCTTAGATATTAAACATGAAACATCTTCTAGCGTGTGTCTACCATGTTTGTTCAAATAAAAGCCATGGGGTTAAATTGGCTGCGCCATGGGTGGTCATTGATTTTCCTTATATGTACATGAAAAAAAACTAAAAATTTCTTCTTTCAAAAAACCCAAAGAGCTAAAGGTTAAATCTAGAAAAAAAATTCTTATGGATGTCTACCAAAGTTGTTCAAATAAAAGCCCTTGAACTTTATCGATACATTATAAACGATATTAAGTTTAATGTTACTTACTTCTACGCTTGGATGGGCATAAAGTCACTTTAAAACGTGTACATAACGTTTCTTTGACATGTTAGGTTATTTATATTATACTAATCTATTTATAGATTTTGTTTTTCCCATGATACTTCTATAAATATATACAGTTTGTATATAGGTTCGGAGTTTAAAAATAGTTTTACCCAATTATGGAAAATAGATGTTCAACATGTTTATGTCAATATACAAACAGGGTATCTTTTTCTGTTGCTTTTTAGATTTGTTGAATTGAAACATATTAACTTTGGTAACTTAATCAATCTAGTAAATCAGTAAAATGATTTCAAACTCTTATTAAGTTGCATACTTTTTAGCAAGCATTTACAAACTCCTAGCTGTGCCGTTATTACTTATTTTATTTTGTAAATCCTTATTATTCAATTAATGTCATTCTCGTTTTAAATTATGTTAATGTCATATTACGAGGGATGATCAAACTTTTTAGATGATTATTTCCCTGTTAAATTTATTTACACATAATTACAAGGGAATATATCCCCTAATTGATACAAGAAATATTGACAAATAAAACTGTTATGCTGTTAGCATGTAAATATAGGAGGGATAATCGAAAATTAACCGGACTTTGTAGATGATTGTTACCTGTAAATGTGTTTCATCAAGTACACGGAACATAAATTGGAATGTATCTATTTATAGGCGTAATCGGGTTTTCCCCGTTTTAAATTTAGAAACATAATAACCTGGAGCTCATTTATAGAATAGGAATTTATACGAAGTGGAGTAGAAATTTATTTAAGAAAATGCAACAAATTTCATTATTTGACTCAAAACATTTGTAAATATGTTTCAATATAAACTGAACACGCGTTGCATCTATTCAGATATCCATTTGAAATCAATCTAGCTAGCTTCTTCATCTTCTTCACTCGGAAAGGTAATTTAATAATTTATACAATATGTTTCTTGTTTTAAATGACGGATTCTTTTTATATTACTTTTAAATAGTTCAAATATTCGACAGTTACGTTTGAATTCAATATAACAATTGAAGTTGTGATATTATTTCAATCCGGCGTTTTTGTCTAGTAAAAAATTAAAAAAAATGTAATTTACTTAATATTCATTTAGGAACGAAACACCTCTTGTTTGTATGTACAAAATTAATGATATATATTTATATATATATTCGTTTGTAAGATAAAAATAAGCAAATATTTTTTTTATAACCATGGATATCAAATTAGATTTTTAACAAACACAAAGTTTCAAAAAAAAACAAAAAAAAAACAAGTTAGCTATTATTGTTATAAAACAAAGTTTTTATTAAAATATGTTGAGGAATTTTGTTTGATTTCCATAAAGAACAGTTTTCTGACATAGTTGATATTTTATTTACAACATAGGGCCTAAATTCATATTGTGTTTAGCTATAACTTAATTAAAGATAAAATATATTGCACAGACAGTACGGTAAAAATGTTTATTTATTTATTTATTTATTTATTTATTTATCTTCTACATCTTGATATACGACATCATGGCGACTTTCTTTTTCTTTTTTCATTTCCACACGTACAAGAATTAAATAGACCGTTTATTAAAATGTGGTTTTGTTTGTTTTTGTTTGTTTGTTTGTTTGTTTGTTTGTTATTGATTTTTATTTCGCCGAAATGTTAGGAAAACATGCAGAGAACCTGTTGCCATTTTACAGGCTGTGATGATATTTCTATACTTTCTGAATGAGTTAATAACCATACAAAATTATGATTGTTTTTTTTTTTTTAAATAATAAATTCATACCGTAGTTTTAATAGGAATTATTTCTTTTTACCTTTCCTGCAATATATGTCATTGTAATTTATAAACATAATTTCTACAAATAAATACCTGTCTCTTTGATTTTAAATTGTTCATTTGGCCTTTTTATCACACATCCGTGCCGATTTTGCAACTCCATAAATATGGTATTGCACGGCCGGTCATATATTTTGACGTGACGTCATTAGCGTTATACAAACATAGTGTAAAGACGCGCTAAATGATGGCATTATTCTATAGGCGCGTCAATGAAAAATGACTCTTATTTCACTTTAATCGGTGTTTATTTTGGGTGTGTGATAAATAGAATATTAAATTCATGTAAGTTCATCACTGAATTTATTGCACTCGTTGAAAAAAAATAATATTATGCTCGCCAGAGGCTCGCATTATATAATTTTATTCAACTCGTGCAATAAATTCAGTATTGAACTTACATTCATTCAATATCCTCTATTTATTTGTTAAAAGACTACATTAAATTGACATTTAATAAGCACCATTGTGCTATTTTCTCTCTGATTATGCATTCATATATTAAAGACCCATAATTAATGCCTCAGTATGCTTTTATTTCTATTTCTCAAAAGCTATTTTATTTTTGGTTTTCCGTTATAGTTTCTAAAATATTACCAGAACCATCTTTTGCTTCTCTTGCTTGACAATAAGTACAATTAAAGTGATTTAAATGTAGAATTTTGTATGGAAGTCAAAATACTACTTTGTCTACATTTTGCTACCTTTATGACAGATAATTTTATTTTGTTAAAATCTAAAATCAGAAAGAGCAAAAATTCTTTGTTTTATTTGATTGTTTCAGTAATCTTTATAATTCTGTCCTGCATTTTTATTCATTTTTGCAATTAAATTTATAACCTCTTCGGCAGCATGCATTCAGATTCGAGCTAATTTTCATGAAAAAGTTGAAAATGTATTTATTTAAAAGTATTTTTTGTGCAGTGTACAGTGATATTAATTTACACATTGCTAAAGGCATTTACCATCCATGTAAATTTCAAAAAGATGTCAAAATATGCAAAATTAACCCTTCCTGCGTTTGTCACGCAGTATGAATATGGATATAAATAATGCAAAAAATCAACCATTAATCGCACATAACATGTACATTTTTACTTGATTTTTTTTCCTTAAATCTTAGTAGATTTTTCTCAAGGTTGATTGTCTTCAAATATTTGACTAATCGGCAGGTTTTCAGCTCTAATTTGCAGAAAACTTCTTTTCTTTTAGATGAGCGACTTCAAACTGAAACGATCCGAATTTGTTATTTCTTGGGAAGGGTATCCACGTATTTATTACTTTAGTAGACGATTGGTAGACCTAAAAGCAAGATTTAAAAGAATAACTGGTAAAAACGCTTATTATTTAGAAAAAAGTAATAAAATATTTAGTATTTTGCATATCTTATAATTATAATGATTTAGTTGGAGCATTAAGTTCATATTACTACCTTAATAAAAACGAAACCAAACTTGTAGATTTGTATTTCAAATGAAATTTGACATTAAGCATTTAATTCAATAATTCTAGATCTGTGTTGAGTATTTACATTAACAGACAAATGAAATCGAGGTGACTCATAATTTACAATGAATTAAGCAGTCTAAGTGATCTGGTAGACATGTATTTCTTGGGAATTAAGAACAATGATATTAAGATTTATTTTCATCAAGATTTCTTCTTTCCTTTCTTGTATACTTTTAACGTTTTTGACTTCATCAGTAAAAACTGTTCTTAGCATCAAAAAGGCACAACATGTTTGTTAACAAATAAATAGTTCATGTTTTTATATTAATAAACAGAGGCACTGCCACGTTCTTTACAAGATGTCGAGCTTATAAATTCTACCCAAGAGTTGTGCAAAATACTTGACTACAAACACATCCACATTGTCACTAATGGTACAGAGGAAATTGCCACTGATGAATTATACTATGGAAGTTCGTCAAGTATAGAAACAGTATGTACAGGGAACAATGAATGTCCAACACTTATGATATTCAACGCCATGCTGGACGATCTAGGCGAAACCGGACTTCGTGTAAATACTTTTATTTTGTCGATCTGTGCTGCTAAAAAGACATTAAGCCCGATTTTAATCAATCTGTGAAACTATTGTCACATAAGTATCTACCGAATAAATAAGTCACGATTAAATGACAAGTTTAATTAACATTTATTCACATGGAGAGCCATGGTTTTCTCGGCGAAAATAAAAACCTCAAAATTTTACCTCTTGGGGGAAAAACAACAAAATTGGTACTTATTATAATACCTTTAGTTAATCTTCAGTGTTTTGGCATTGGAATATTAGCCCTTTTTCTTTTAAATTGTATTCAAGATATCTAAATTGTTTTATTTACTTATTTTTCAGCAAAGCATAGGTCTCATACACAATGCATCAGTATCGCAGTGCCTTCAAAATCCAGAACATGTGGAACCTCTCATCACACTTTGCAAACCAGGAGACAATTACTCAAAGGAAGAATGCACAGAATTCAGAGAGAAACTTCTGAATCAAATACGAAATGACATCCCAAATATTATCCCTAATACTGAAATCATTCTAGTATCTGCATATACTGACTTAAAGCATCATATATCATCTCTTTATGAGGCCTGTATAGCTCGTGTATTCTTGCGCATTCACGCATTCCTTGGTGGATTTATAAAAGCTAGAACTATTTTTTCTCAAAACAAAATGCATACCATGCCAGATTGTTTCATAGAGCAAACCTTTAAAATGTATTTAAGTAACAGATGTACAATGTATGAAGTCTGCAAAGACTCATTTAATACAACAATCTTTTCCCGACTCGCGCATATTTCCAAATGCGTGATTGTTTCGCCACTGTCATTCAAATATGCTTTGCCACAATGGTTATGCAACCGTCTTCTTCATGAAATTCAGTTGGAAGAAGCCCTGGTGAAATCTGTTTCTCCTGATACAAAATATTATCTTAGAAAATTTAAGCAGATAAGTTCTTCATTCAAAACTTCTACAAAAGTTGCAAAACATAAATGTGCTTCCAAAAACTCTTCAACCAATCTTTCTCTTGAACTTGTTGTTAAATCATTGTTAAAAGATTTTAACAGCACGAATATTAGAGCAGAGAAAACCTTGTCATCAATGAAGTCCTTAGCAACTGTTATGGGTAAGATGATGTTTGAAATAGAGGGATATCTAAAGCAGACGAACGTGCTTGATGTTTCAACTTTGCAAACGTTTTTCGACTTGGATATCCCGAGGACATTACGAAAGGAAATCATGGCGTAAGTAGATGTTGCCAACGTCTTATTCCAAATAAAAAACACAAAAAAACCACAAAAAACAATATACAATTGCATATAAAGTTAACACGTCTGGATTATTGCCTTTAAGCTTTTTACCATGATATTGAAGAAGTATTTCGGCCCTTTGAAAAACATGTAATGATATATAAACAATGTTAAGCATAGAATGTACCACTAACAATATCTGTTTTGTTTGTTAAAATCAATTGGTTGTTTAAAAATAAGCGTACTTAATTAAACGCTACACAGTTTGTTTATAAATATATAACTGTATATAACTGTATTTCTAATATATTGTTTATTAGATACAAATAAGGAACATCAAGATTTAACATGTACTCTTCTTTTCACAATTGTATTCACATTTTACAACAAGGAAACATTTGAAGTATCTTTGAAATATATATCATTGAGTTTTCTTCCATACTTTATTAACAGAATAAAGGGAGTTTATGGAACGGGAACAATCTATGGACAATATGAAGTCCACGTAGACGTGCAAAATGAGGCCAGAGTTAAAGAAATAACTAACATGGTGAGAACCCTGACCAACAGACATCGCTTCCCTTACTCGTTTACAATCAGGTGCATCGAGAAATGAAATAATGTTTTTATAAATTATGTTGTAGACTGTGAAACAGATTATACGTGCAATGATCAATAGGATATTCAATGGACGTTGAATGGATATGACTCTTATAATAAGTTGATCCAAATAAACATTTATTGAAGCAAATTGTTATGTAGCTGTGTCAGTTACGCATATAGTCTTTTCATTTGAATTTGAAATAAATATTTCATTATATCATACGTTAAACTTAATCATATTGCATAGCTATTGAGTGAGTGAGTGAGTGAGTGAGTGAGTGAGTGAGTGAGTGAGTGAGTGAGTGAGTGAGTGAGTGAGTGAGTGAGTCTATGTGTCGTGTATTTGTGTATTTTCAAAAAAAAACAATAATCTTTTAATTGTGTTCATGATTGTATAATTTTTTTTATTTGAGTTATGATATAAGTTAATTTTACTATGGTATGAAATTTCGTATATGTTGATTAATGTTTTAAAGTAATGATGTAAAAAGATTTTTGTGTCATGACCTTTATAATTAATGCGTTTTGTCTGCCAACACATTTTAGAATATTTTAAGTTGAAAAGTGATCAATTGTTCAATTAAGCTACATGCTAGCAAATTATTTTTCATATCGCACTGCATTCCAAACTATATTATCAATATGTTTTATAATCATTGTGTTATCAATACAGGGTTGTTGCCTATGGTTAGATATTTAAAACTAGATTTTATGTTATGCTTTTCAGTGGATTACTGATTTATCCGTGAAAATTATATTTGATAATTTCACAGTGAAAATTATCAAAATATAATTTTACTTTTTTCAATGACAAAACTACTTTTTTAAAGATTTTCCCCATGTGGTACCTCAATTTTATTATTACTGACAATTCTGACAATGTCAGGCTGTTAAAAGAAATAGCAAAGATGAAATAGATAAATAAATTAAATGTCAAAAGTAATAAAGAGAGAAAACTTACTTCTATTCCTTCAAATTCCAATCACCAAATTTTGTCTCTAAATTTTTTTGTTTCGTTTTTACAGTCTGAAAAATACATTTCTTCCCCATGCAAAACTGCGCTTGATGACATTTGGGCATATTAAAGTATCCTATGAGCAATAACTGCCGTATGCTTTATGTAAAATTGAAAAGCATTGACAGCCATCACTCGTAAAATAAGTAAAACAACCCAGCGTTCCTTATTTTCCATTTTCCTAGCTCCTTTTCTGAATGTTTTCACTTCTGTCAACACTTATTTTTTGTCTGTTACAATTCTCAAATAAGTTTTCTTTCTTTTTAAAAGGTGTAAGACTAACAAATCCAAATTATATTGTTCTGAATCTTACACAATTATTTTCCTCCCATGAAATACAAAACTTTAAAAAATGGCTGCCGCTTACATTTTACAAAGCCAGGTCTAATATAAATTCGCAGTAAGTAACAGAAATATGGATGGATGGTTGGCCTTTTTCTCCTACAAGAATTGTTTTAAAACAAGCGATCATTCATATTTTTTTAATAAAATGAATAAATATCACCGTCATTTAACCTTGATTGGCGGACTTATTTTTCAGCTCAAGACTTCTTTGTTTTAAATGAGAAATTCCGTCTAAATGGGGCTCTCAATGGGGGAAACAGATTTTAATATTAACTTTAAAATTATGGAAATTTCGTTTTAACTTGTTTTTAAGCATAAAATAAAAAGAAAATGTGTCTGTTTGTTGTGTAAGATGAACTTTAAAAACAGTATTCTCACTCGTGGCTGCGCCACTCATGAGAATACTGTTTTTAAAGCCCACTCGATGAAATAAAATTTCATCTTACACACAAACAAACAAATATCCTCTATATTATTGTAAAAGTATATGTTATAACTTTTAACGATTTTTTTACTAGATTGTATTAAAAAATTAAATGTAAATATTGTTATCGTGGATAGGTGGCTAATATCAATTCAATTCAAAACTTTATGGTCAGAGTCCCAGTTTACAATATGTAACAACATGTGAATATATACAATCATCAATTTAGAAGCATTAGTAGACGTAACAAAAATATAATCTTGTCAAAAACATTTAAAAAAACAAACAAATGATCTAAGCATGGAGGGGAAGTGATTGAACTACATTTTTTATATTTTTTAAAATGTAAAGCAAATTGATAGGTTGTATATGGAACAAAAATACCATATATATTTCAGGTCCAGCAGAAAAAGAAACAATATTATTATTATTTCTTAAGCTAAAACATACTCGTATAATGAAATTTAGTTTACGCTTGTATATAGATATGTAAGAACGAGGGCACAATAAGGTTACTAAATAAATTGCCATTGTCATTTTAACAGGTAATAACTATTAGTATTCAAGGACGTTTCAAACGTTTCAACTAGATAATAAATTAGCAAAATGCAAATCAATAAGAGGGTGCAGACAATCAAAGCTAATCTATTTATATAGTTCGAGATCGGAATTTCATTCGAATTACTAAAAATAGGATTTTTGGTGGTTTTATTTATTGAAGATTGTATATATTTATGTTGATTTATAGATTTAATAAATTTTATGAAGTGTCACAAAATACAAGTGACTTTATTCCTGAAATGTTTAATCTTCTATAAAGATGTGGTATCATTTTTAAAATTTTTTCACGTTAATACTTGAATTGTTTCAAATAATTTTGATTTCAAAAACAAGCCAAACAATATCAAGAAATATGAAGTTGGACGTTTTCTCCCAAAGTCTCTTTTCTTGTTTATGTCGTCATTTTTATCAGCTTCATAATACGGTAGCTGCGCTCGGAACTTTTCTAAACATGTTTAAATTTTCTTTAATATATTCTAGTGATATATACTCCCTCCTTAAATAGAAACAATATGTTCGTGTGAACTGGAAACATCAAGTAAACAATTTCAAATATCCTGTAATTGTGACAGTTGTGAATGAAGTCATTTAGATAATGCAGCTGAAGTTTTTACCCCATCTATAACCTCTGCAAGCATGATGGGATTTCAAAAGAAATTGGTACACGGAATCATAATCAATTTGTGTTGTGTTGTGTGCAAGAAGCATGTCCATATCTTCAAAGTGAAGGTTAAATCCTGTCTGGTTTATAACTTTGTTGCTACTTAATGGATTGTCAGAATAATTTTAATTGTCCCCTACGACCTGAGTTCATGACCTAGTGACCTATGTTTTGTATTTACAACTGCAATTTGGACTTGCTGTGTATTTGAACTTCGATATTTGTTGACCTAGATTTTGATCTGGTGACCTTCTTTATGTATTTTGAGCTGCACCTATAAAATTTGGATTATATATGCACAGTTTCAGACATAGTATTGAACGTTGACAGTAGTTGGCGTTGAATTTGGCCTAGTGACCTACTTTTTGGTAAATGGTGCTTTAGCTATGAAATTTGGACAAAATGAAAAGTTTCAGATGAAACATTAAACTTTGACGTACATTTCGACCCAGTGACCCAATTTTTGAAAACCACAGCATTGATTTGAACTTCAACCGCCTTTAATTTACCTAGTCACACACCGTATTGCTCACCTGAGCATTATATGTCTTATGCAGGTACTGTTTCTCAGATGAGTGATATATTTCACCTCCTATTGATATTGATACTGTTTTACCATAATAGAGAGAGCACTTATCATGTCAGCTGCTAGAAAATATTGTCCGACACGTAATTTATCATGGGATGTCACAAATGTGCATCATGATGAAATAGTGACATTGTGTCATGCTAAGACCCAATACCCCTGTCGTCAAGGTCACACTTAGAGGTCAAAAGTTATAACAGTATTTTAGGTTATGTTAAATTTTAGTTTCAATAAACTTTATAATAAAGTTTAACAAAATACAAGAGACTTTAGGGGGCGTGGACGGTAACTTTCCAGTACCGTCCATGAACAGGCTCAATCAAACCGAGTCTGCAACATTTTCAATTTTGCCGTGTTGGGCTTTCTTCAGGGATTCTTTATTTATCTATTTTATTCCTGAAAAATTAATGAGTTAATCCTGCCTTCTATGAAGCTAATATTTAGAAATATGAGGTTGGAAGTTTTCCCCAAAGTCCCATTATTGTTTCAGTCGTCTTAATATAAGCTTTATGAACGGTAGCTACCCTCTGAAAATTGCTCACCGTGTTTGTATTTTAGATAATTTTAAAAATAAGTCGGGGGGGGGGGGCATCGTGTGAACTGGAAACATCAAGTTAATCGTTTCTTCCTTTTATTATTTGTAGTCATTACAAAATAAGTTATGTTTGAGTTTAGTTGAACGACACATGTAAAATTATGTAAGGAAATAATTCACTCTAAGTCTTCTGGCACCAACAGCCCTACTATGCAGACAAAGATCGAACGGCAAATATTCAAATATCCTTTAATTGTGTCATTTAACACTATGATCATTTTTTAGCTCGTCTATACGAAGTATATACTCACCCCGGCGTCCGCGTCCAGATTTAAGATTAATGTTTTGGTGCAGTAAAATATTTTTCACTATAACTTTTTTATTTCTTATGGTATCAACTTAAAACTTCAAAAATATGTCATTATCATCAACCACATCTTATGTGACAAGGTTCATAACTCTAGTACCAATATTGCAAGATTATCTCACTGTTAACGTATATTTTTTTACTTAAAAAATTTTTTTTTACTATAACTTCTTTAGTTTTAAATGTATCTACCTCTTACTTCAAATACATATTCTTTATCATCAACCAGATCTTATTTGACAAGGCTCATAACTCTTGAAGCAATATTTTCAGATCTATCTCATTTTGAACTTGAAATTTCTATAAGAAATATTATAACTTCTTTATTTTTTCAGATATCAACTTCAAACTTAAAAAATAAAATAATATTTCTTATCATTACACACATGTTGTGTGACAAGGTCCATAATTTTAGTGTGACTTTTTCCAGAATTTTTCCCCTTTGAACTTGGAATTTATGTTAACAACAATAACTTCTTGTTATAAGAAGAAATATATTTATATCATAATTGGTTTTTCTTTCATTGTTTTGTTTTCCTTACTGCGTCCCGTTATTAA